AGCTTTTTACAGCCTCATTGACGCACAAGCTTTCCTTGCCCGAACTAACTTCATTGTTGGAATAGTTTCAAATTGAGACCAATTATAAGCTGCGTTAAACTACCGACAGAATATCGTGGTATGAACAACATAGTGAGCCAAATGCTAGCGAGGATACCAGCACGTCTATCAAACTCCCGTGGATTTGTTGAACGACTACTGAGCGCAGGCTTGATTTGAGCAGTGTGATCGAGTCTTTACATGACTTTGCTTTAAACGATCAAGCCTTGCAAGCGCTGTCGGAAATGGAGATAGATATGCCAGTACCATAAATATAATCGGACTTAGCAAAACGCGGGCCAGGACCCTATTAAGCGAATGTCTAAAGGTAACATTTTGAAGTGGTCTGGGACCTATTATTCTCAGATACCAAGACAATTTAACATATTTTGCATTGCGCTAAGGCTGGGTTCATACTGATCATGTTCTGGAACTGTTCCCGCACAGTCCCCGCACAGTTCTCGCATTGTGCTGGAACTGTTCCGGAACTGTGCTGCATGCGCTGCAGCCGCTCCGCACCGTTTTGAACGGCGGGAGCTGGAGAATTTTGACCGTTCTCAACGGTTTTTCTTCGATTTCTCTCATTTTGGTCTTATTCCTCTACTCGCTTCCCTTTTTGATCAGCCGAACTTCGAACTCGAAGCGAAGTTGAAGAATGAGCGCTCCGCTTTGCGTATGCTGCAAAACGTGTGTTCTTGTGCTCGTCCAATCTCTTTTCGCTATTTTTGCTCTATTTCATTTGTTCCAGGAAGCCGCTGCGTAGTTTCCATAGCCATCTGCCATAAATTAGGAGGTAAGAGCAATACTGAAATTGGATGAATTAGGACTTATCTCTTGTTTTTCATGAGTTTCGTTTTTAGGCGTTCTCAGCCCCTTTCCTTTTTCCATATCCTTGCTTCTCCGTTCCTTCTTCTACCCCGTTTCTCCTTGTGATGAGAAAAGCTGCGAACTTGACGCTGGGTTGGGGACTGAGCGCTGTTCTGCTTGAGTATCCGGGAAAGTGAACCTTCGCGCGCTCGTCCGTCTTCTCTGCCATTTTTGTTCAAGCCTACTTCATGTGTTCTAGAGACCTGTCTATGTCAATTTCAATACAGATTCGAGACTACGCAGCGCCTTCCTAGAACACACGAAGTAGGTCTGAACAAAAACAGCGAAAAGAGAATGGACGATTACAATAACGCACGTTTTGTCGCATATGTAGAGCAGAAAAGCGCTCATTCTTCAACCCCGCTTCGAGTTTCGAAGTTCCGCTGATCAAAAAAGGAAGCGGGGTGGAGGAATAAGGCCAGAGAGAAGTAAGAAAAACCGTTGAAAACGGTCAGAATTCCCCGACTCTCGCCGTTCAAAACGCGTGAGGGGCGGCTGCAGCGCATGCAGCATAGTTCCGGAACAGTTCCAGCACGGTGTGGGAACTGTGGAGAACAGTTCCAGAACATGGGAATCAGTATGATCCCAGCCTGAGCTCTTACGAAGAGCCCAGCTTACATTATCAGAGATGTAGGGTACACAAAATGAAATTTTTGCGTCTAGAGACTGTCTATCGACAGTACCTATATAGATTCTGCATGGCTCTACTAGAGGATAATCATCACTACCTATATGGTCTGCCATTTTCAAGAATTCTTGCGATCTCGTGGTCCAAATGAAAATCGCGCATATTTTTGACTACTAATTTTTTAATCCAGCTAGTAGCGCAGATACATAATTACCGAGATGTTTTTGTTGCTAGGATACACCATTTTGTTTTGAACTCTCCATTTGAGATCTGCACGTCCAAAAACGCAAGCCAGTCCTTCTTTGGCTTTTCTCTGGTATTGATATGAGAAAATTGCTGGTTCAAGGGGTCAAAACATGTGTACACTTCCAACAGTTGGGCATACTGTAAATCAATCATCTATATATATACTACAGTAAGTTTCGGCCCGCATTAGGCGGAAATTGGATTGGCGGGCGTCCGCCTCGCAACAGCTCGCGCCGTTTCGCAGCTACAGTACATCATATCGTGCTGAGAACCGAGGTCTGCGTCTCTCCCTTCTCCTCAGTCCCTACTTGGCAAAATGCCAGCGCTATGCGCTCGCGAGACTTCCGGCGGTGCGTACGCGCCCCTCCTTATGGGATGTTCTGCCTAATCCGGGGTGAAACCGACTGTACATATAAAGGAGGTTTCCGTTCTAGTATTGGTGCCTCGACTTTAAACATAAAGATGATGGGCAGTACAGGAGCTATCATTTGTTCCATGGCAAGACCCTAACCTGTCTATGATACTGTCCCGAGCAGCGAAAAATGGAGCAAAGATGACACTAGTTGAAAAGCGTCATAATATTTCTGATGGCAAGGCGAGCAAACTAATTTAGATCGATGCTCCAGTAGAAGTTCGAAGATTGCTTGCATGGAACATCGGAACATCGGTGTAGAGGGGTTGACATCGAAAGACTCTACAACGCAGCTGGAGCCAAAGCTGATTTTGCGCAACTAGTTGAGAAACATAAAAGTGTTGTTCAAATGAGAAGGTATGTAGCTTAGTAACGGCGAAAGGACTGTGTTAAGAAGCCACGAAATCCTGTCCGTGGTACCATCTACGCTGCTTAATAAGTCCAACTGAAATTTTGTTGATTAATTTAGACCTCTAGTAGGAGCAGTGTAGAGAAAAGGACAAGTAAGATATAGTGTGGACCCCGGCCAGCTTCCCATATGTACCTCCGCGCCGCGCACGCAGCGCATGCCTTCAGTGCGCTTTTAATCCCGCTTCTATTGGTTTTTATTCATTTTTTCATCTCTACTGACTTTCTTTTTTCTGTAATCTGTTTATTTTAGGGTTAAGCGACCCACGACAGCTGGGCCTGTAGTAATCCATCCCGCATGTTGGCATAAGACATGACGGCGACCTCGCGAACCTCATTACAACATTATGTTTTGGGGGTGAGGTTCGCCTGTTTCTGTAGCCTTTCGATTTTACTGGTAATCACAGTGCACTGAAAAGTCGACCGCAAAACCATTGCACCTGCTGTAATGGAACTCTCCTCTGACCAACGAGAGTCAGCACGTTAACCTGTTGAACTACACGTGCACATTTCCACTCATTCTAGGGAACTTAATCAAACACACCGTCATCTTGCATTAACATGTTTATTTGAGTGTTTTCGGGTTGGAACGAGAGCTATCATTACGAAGCAATAAGTGATAGTAATATGTTGACTAAAATAGTAAACAGCTTGACCCCACATAGCGTCACGGACCATACCAGGATCATTTAAAGGAGCATGCCACTTTTCTTTCTTTTTTCTTTCTTTTTTTCCTTTTTTCTTTCTTTTCTTTTTTCTATGAGAATTGAATACCTCAGGAATTGATTCAAAAATTTAACTAAGAAAAAGCGTTCATAAGAAAGACAAATACGCGTTTGCTTTCGTCAAATAGAGGTGGGGGAGGGGGGGGGGGGGGAGGGGGCAGCAAACCTTTGCTCTCTGGCATTCGTTGCGTACCAGCGATCTTCCTACATGGCTGTTCCGCGTTTTGCGCTTAACGTACTAGCGGCGTAACATTGTGGACGAGCGGCGTCCTATCATAACAAGCAGGCGAGGGTGTTCCATCACATGCTCCGTAATTACCCCCACGCTGTAAGCGAGCGGTACCCACATGGGATACGACACAGTGGCTGGGCCGCCTCAGCATTTACGTCGCTACGTCGTTGTTGGTTCTTGACAAGGAGTAAGATTATGTGGCGTTGTAGAGGTCATGATCCGATTTCGATTCACTGAAGTCTGTCGATCGAACGATTAAGACTTTTTGCTCTCATTTTGGTTCCATAAAAAACATCGATATAGCAATTTGCAAACCAACTAATGCTGCAATCAGTCATTAGATCGGGTGAGAGTGCGATCTTCTAAGCATCCTCTTGGCGTATAAGCGACGTAAATTTCCTTTGCAAGCGAGGTTCTGCAGCGTGAGCGGGCGCGACTGTCCCAGCGTCTGCGTTTAGGTCTAGAATAGTATCGAACGCCGCTGGTGCGCAATGAAAGTCAGAGCTGCTGTAAAAATGGGGATGGGAAAATCTTAGGAGCATTGATGTTTGTCACTAGCGATGACGCCGCATAACCTGAAAATAATTCTACTGTTGCTTTGTTCTACATTCTTTCTAGCGAAAATGAAACGACAGCCGGTCTGATACCCGTACCAAGCCAAATACTGGCAGCCACATGCACTTTACCTAAAGCAGTACAAATCATAAATAATAAGCATGATGTGTAAGTTTTAAAGTCGAGTAGAGTCCTTTGCCAATGCGTATGATTGCACGTTTTCCAGGATTTTGCTTTAGGATGCAAGTTTCGAGTAATGAATGCCGATATGTGTTCAGTCACCATTCATGCTTTACTCAACCAACAAAGAAAAGAAGAAAAAACACAAGGAACAACACAGGGTTCCCATACCCAACCCCATGCTAGTTGTACAATTGCATATTGAACAGAGACCGGCTCAACTGCGTGAATTGTGCTCATGCATCAGAGTTGCAAGAGCAATCGAACGGTGAAGAATGCGAGATGCTTGCAGATTTTAAGGCCAGTATGCATGAGAATTTCTTTCAAGAGGAGCGGCCTTCTTTATTTGAAATGACCGCAGCGATACTCCCGCTCACCCCATTCTACAGGTAGTCCCCACTTGCCTCACATTTCCATGCATACGGGCATTGAAACCAAGTTAGAAGACCGCAAGCACAGGAAATTGAAATATGTTCGAAAAAAGAGGCGGAACTTTAAGGGATCAAAAGAGTGACATCTTAACATCGCAGAGCCATGGGGGGTAAAAGTGACCAGTAGCATCTCCTCAGAAACTGCAATTCATATGCAACAATAGAATAAACGAAAAGGACGCCAAAGAAACCCACCAGTATGTGCTACAAGGAACGCAAATACAGACGAGGCAACCAATAACTGGAGCACGGGGAATTCAATCTGAAAGGAGAAGGTCTAATCTAGTCTCGCCGGATCACTTTCGAAGTTAACGCTTCGATCTTCTTCATACAAATCAGCGTGAAGTGGATCAATAACCTCGTCTTCAACAGTCGGAAACTACAACGACACCATCTAATAGAAAAATCACACTGAGCGAAGCAGCAAACTTACTAACCGAACTTCGGCTACTAGAAGAAGGACCAGCCGAGCGTTCCGGTAGTAACAGCGGTGTGTTGACATCGCAGATACCCGTACCGGTCTCCGAAACGTCAAGCATGGATCTAAGCGAAGAGGATGGGAGAGAGACCTCACCTGATAGATGTAATGTCAGCATTTACCTGAATAAACGCAACAAAACATACCAAAAACAGGAAACGCTGTTCTCGAAACCATATCAGCCACACTTGCAACTTTTGGCCGAAAGGCTGCCGCCAAATCGAACTTAAGGGGGATAAACTCCCAAAGCCAACTAGAAGAGTACTTCTCAGACGCAAAACCCTATATAGTAATCTCATCACTAAAGTTACTAGCAGCTTACGGGAGTGGATCGGCCATAATCTTATCCAGCAGTTCAATGCTAGGCACGACAACTTCCTGAAACTAAAGTACACGCAACACAACACGCTGCATATGACCTGCAGTTGTTATACTCCAAACTTTTTGATGAACATTTCAACCAACATACAGTTTTGATGTTTGTTGTTCCGTGCTACAGCACATCCCGGCTCAGACAGAAGCGGCCAAATTGATTTTAAAGTATTTAGACAGCCTATTAGTTTTGTACGATTGGAAGAGTCATCTGCGTCTCGAACGCACACCATACATCTAAGAAACGCCTAGAATATCGACTTTGATCGAACTAATGGTTCTATAGGTAGCGAAGCGCACCTTATTCAATATGGAAGGATAATATGTAGCTAATTATGCAATCGTTACAGCCGCTCTATTGGCGGTTCCGTTCAATTCCAGATTATCGGCAGCTACACATTAGAGATCCTGAATCCTCGTGGTAAGAGCGGATGTAATCTAGGAAAAGAATATCAACAAATTCGAGATCATTGTGTGGTGCTTTCAAGCAACTGCTATATGCCGCAGGATTACACATTACTCAAATGTTAGGCTCGTGAAAGATCATTACGCCCCTTGAGATTATAGAGTGACAGATGTAGTGCAGAAGATGTTCAAGTTCACTGGTCACGCCCTGATTGGCTCACAAAAAACAACATAAGATAACAAGTTAAAGTTAGAGAAAGAAACTAATGAAGGCTTTTTCCGTTTGCTGGCTTCTCATTCTAGGGCCCAGCGTATCGAAAAGCAGACCGCTATAGGAGATAACCGCACTCTGTATGTATGACTTCCTCGCGTCTCTTCATCAGCGATGTGAGGGCTGAGAGTAAGTGCACACCGTAGCCTCTGCAAAAATAGAAACAAAGATACGACAGAAACTACGAAACATGAAATGAACCTACACCGATCACACTTGCTGAAATGGATCAGATGAGCAAGCCGACGAAGCGCACAAACCAATGAACGAGCATTAAGATTACGTCCAACCTCGGTTATAAGCAACACCCGTACACGAGAGTGATAGAATCCAAGTAGGAGACTCTGAGCTGCTGATAACACGCAACAGTCACATTATCGGAAAATCCTACCCGCAATACTGCATCCAAAGACTCTTCAGCATACGTTCGTACATCTTGATTGGCATGATTTACCATTCTGAATATCATTTCCACGCTTCTTGCCAGAAGATCGCCGTAGCGACGATCTGCCTGTGAATGAAAAGCTCTTAAGCTTACATGCTTCAGTAGGAAAACTGTTACTACATTGATATCAGTGCTCTCCTTCCTACCTTGTGAAGGGCATTGAAGTCATTGGCTACCTTTCGGAGCAAGCATTGCGTTCCTTCTCGTAGGAAAGGTTCTTCCTTAATGAATATAAAAAGAAAAGGAAGATCTTCATCTTCCTTCTTTCTGTACCGAGTATGGCCATCATTGGATGTGGCACGGAACGATGAGGTGTTACTTTTAGCCGCAAAGACAGGAGGAAAGAAACACCTAAGGCCCTGGCCAGACTTCGCTCAAAAGCGCCCAAAAGTGCCCAAACTTCTCTAACCTCTCCTCACTCTCTCTCATCTCTCCTCACACGAGAAAGTTAAGAGACACCAGAGAAATTTGGGCGCTTTTGGGCGCTTTTGAGAGCTATTGGGCGCCTTTGAGCGAAGTCTGGCCAGGGCCTAAAACCTTATACCCTATTTTCAGGTGTATAAGCCGCGGGGTGGTCCCAGCTTACATGGACTAGCCCGAACACATTAAAGAACCTCGCGACCAAAGGATAATATACCGTGCTGCGTATTGCCTAAAAGAATCGTGCGGCATAAGGATCGCTTCTCAAAACACAGCAGCTCGGGCGAAAATTTGAAAAAGTGCGGCTTATACACCTGAAAATAGGGTACTTGTTTGATAAAATAGCATTTAGTTAGGGTTTAGGCAAGTGAAGAACAACAGCAACGAAACGCTGAATCTGACAAAAGCAAAAAGATAAAATGAAAAAGAATCATAAAAGAACCAAAAAAATAATTACCTAAACAAACCTCCATAGAGAAGATGTGTCAGATACATGGAGATCTCAACGACGCAAAAAGCGCTGCGAATGCTCCAACAGGGAACTGTAGCGATCTGAACTTTCGGCTGGTTAAAACCTCCTTGGCAGGTATGCACCGTCAGCATAACGGGAAGTGTAGAAACAAAGCTGAACGAGGAAAACAATCGAAAAATCGTAATTGGTCAAGCATGCGATAGTTGTGCTATCGGAATTCTCAAACATAAGATCAAAAAGCTTATTCAGGCAATGAGGAATACTTACCGACAACCGTGTGGCTGTTCAATTAAGAATTGTAACAAACATAAAATAGACATACACCGACAGTGAATTTTGAAATCAGTAAAAGCTCAGATAAACTTAAAACTCGTTGTATCTTACAACAAATTAGAAAAACTCATTATGCCAGCGATTTTTGAACATTTGTGACTGTTTTGGGTGATAAGTATGCCTCAGTAGCAAAAGAGAAACAAGAATATAATGAAATCGATCAAAAATCCGCCAGATAACGAGATGTATGTCACGAACCTGCCGGCATCTCGACGTGGTAGGGGCACGACGAGATGCCGGCAGGTTGCACTCCTCAATAAACAAACTATTCCTCTTTCTTTTCTGACATGAGGGCGAGATGCCGGCAGGTTGAGGGCGAGATCGCGGCAGAAATCTCGAAAAAATACCTCACGAAGTTGCCGGCAGGTCAACCTTTTGGGTCCAAAATTTGAAGTTGTCGGGATTTTTCGGATTTTTTTTCGATCTCCAACTGGTGCCCACCTCTAAGCTGGACCGACAGACCTGGAGAGTGCCAGACTGATTGCTTTGGAGAACCTCTAGAGGACGTTGGCAGTTTTCATGATCTGAGGGCGAGATCGCGGCTAGTTGAGAGCAAGACCTGCCGGCAAGTAGGGTAGATTACTACGGGCACTGATGTTTAAAAGCTTTTAGAAGCCTTAGAGGTCTTGAGGAGCATTTATCTCAGAAAGATCTAGTTTTTTCCCTCGGTAGTGAAGACTGAGTTCATTTTAGGAAGAGCTATCTGCGAAGGTTTCTATGACGGACCTAACGTCTTTTTCGATGCGACATTGAAGCTTCCTTTTGTACAATTACACTCTCGAGCTAACACTTCTCATGTTTATTAGGACTACCGAAGGAAAACGTTTCAAAATGCTCCTTTCTCTGTAACTTCTGTGATTTTCACCCATCATTAGTAGTATCATACAATCATTTATGAAATTGACTAGAAACTAAGTGTTAGTGAAAGTTATGAAAATTCTCTTTTGCTTAGGATTTTCTCAAGCTGAGATTAGAGGGTTTCCACTTGTTATTTTTCTCCTATCTTCACGTAAAAACGTTTTTTTGTTCAAAAGTGAGATGAGAAGCGCCAACAGAACGCGCGTTGACGCGCGATGCGTATGCGCCGCGGAGGTTCCTATGGGAAGCTGGCCGGGGCCCCTACTATAATTCGTTTTTGAGACGTGAGATTCTGCGTCTAGGCACCCCGCAGAGCGAGCTTTTTCTCATACATCTACTCACGGTAATTGAAGACAGCCTGTAGAGACTGCCCTCTTGTAGATTTGTTTGAGTCATGGCGACGTCTAAAAGTGGACTAATAACCACAAACTCTCCCCTTTATCACTGACAGCAACTTTAATCGCTTGTGTTGCAAAGACGAATCTCGCGCAGCCGCGCCATTGTGATTGAGTCAAGTTCAAATGGGGAATTCAAAATAAAGCGGTATTGCAAACCTAACAACAAAAACATCCTGGTACATTATGCATCCTAACATCCCAGCTGAGTTAAAAAATCAGCGATCGAAAATATGTAGAAACGGCCGCACGAATTTCATTTGAACAACAAGAACGCAAGCAATCGTCGAAAATGGCAGACCATATATCACGTGGTAATGATTATCCTCTAGTAGAGACACGCAGAACTCATGTAGGTACTGCCAGTATACAATCTCTGGACGCAAAAATCAGTCTGTCTATATCTCTGATGGCAAGGCGAACAAACTAATAGATTGTACAGGGTGGGGCAAAAGTCTAGGAGCCTACTTTGCAGTGCTGTAAATCAAGAAACTACTGGGATTTTGACTCCAAATTTGTGCCACATATTGCTGCAATCATCCTCTATAAATTACACTTTGCTTGGCTGAAAATGCTTGACATATTTTTTATAGGATTTGAATTTATCAAACAGTGTTCTGCAAAGCGAGAAAATCGAAATTTTTGGTCTCCACAGCTTATTTCGTAGCTAAAAATACAGTGGATATTCTAGAGCACTTTGACGCACACAATGTGAAGGAGACTTTGCGCTATCAATTTGTAGCCGTTGCGTTTGTCAGGTACTATTTTTTCGAAAACGCATAATAAAAATTTGTGAACACTACTTGCGTGCCAGGGCCATTTTTTTCAAAATAAATTTGGAAGCTATAGGAGCACAGCAGGCACTGAATTCTGGACTATACTCCTTCCATGAGTCTCCTATGCAAGCATGTACTTGAGTTTGATCGATCAAGCTATTTCAATACTTTTCAGATTATGATTATTCGCTCTCGTTCTCGCATCCAGATTTCCAGTATACGAGTACACTCGCCTTCAACTAAAATTCCAAAGTTTTTTCCTAAACATTGCAAAAGAAAATTTCTTTGTAGTACGTCGTAGCCAAAAGCTTGCCCTCTCACACCGCACATTTGCCTGGTGAAAAAAAAAACAGTTATCGTAAAGGGTAGGACAAATTTCATCACGACCGTCTGCGTGCCACGACAGGCGGACTCGCCAAGATTTCGACGGGCTGCTCTGAAGCGGGTGGAGGACATTAGGTCGCCGAATTTGGAAGAGTCCCGCGCGGATTCCCTGCAGGAACGCATGTCCGCGCATGTACAAAGGTGCATATTTGTCGCAAATGACCGCGGGGACCGCCCTTTTTCGGCGACCTAATGTCCTCCCCCCCCTCTGAAGCCAGAAGAGGCAATCTCAAAATTTGAGAGCAGTACTACATTTGTAATGGTTCGATTTATGTGTGCACCGAAGTTTTTGTTCTTAGGCACTTTCCTTCTGATTTCATCTAAAAAGCACTTGCCCTCTCACACCGCACATTTGCCTGGTGAAAAAAACAGTTATCGTAAAGGGTAGGACGAACTTCATCACGACCGTCTGCGTGCCACGACAGGCGGACTCGCCAAGATTTCGACGGGCTGCTCTGAAGGCAGAAGAGGCAATCTCAAAATTTGAGAGCAGTGCTATATTTGTAATGGTTCGATTTATGTGTGCGAAGTTTTTGTTCCTAGGCACTTTCCTTCTGATTTCATCTGAAAAAGTACTAGGCTCCCAAACTTTTGCCCCACCCTGTAGATTGATGCTCTGCTAGAAGTTCGAAGATTGCTTGCATCGCTCATCGTTCGGAATATCGGTGTAGAGGGATGTAACATCGAAAGACTGTGCAACGCAGCTGGAGTCAAAACTGATATTGCGCAAGCTTATCAGTGGCCCAGCTTACATTATCCCTGGTAACGTAAGCAGGCTATTTGTAAAAATTTAGATCACGAAGGACTGCAAGTTATTGTAAGGGTAAAGATGTACCTCCCCAAACCTCAGAAAACAATTAGTACGCAATCGCTGCTATGATCGACTGTGCACGACTATAACTGCGTAGTCTGACCCAGGGTAAAGCGGGGGGTGCGGCACGCGACCGCCGGATACGACCCCCCCCCCCCTTGGGCCGGACCTCGGCACGACCCCCCCCCCCTCCATTCCCTACCCCCCCCCCTCCTCCCTCCCGAATTCCCAAGCTAGCTCTTGAGCTTCGGATTATGTGCAGACCAGCGCGTCACCTCTGCTTCGCAGAGGCTCGCACTGGCCCCACTGTCTGTACGCCTTACTATTTCCCGCACATTAATGACATTGAAACTCACCGCGCTATGCGGACTACCACGAATAATTTGTAAACAACTATTCATTTCAAAAGCTTTTCCATATTAGATGGGTAACTTCGCGTGAATGAAACTTTTTCCAAAAAAAAAACAAATGCAGGAATGTGGTCATCCATATTCGCCCTTGTCTTTGCATTGATGTTAGTGTGTGAACCGGTAAACACTGCGGCTTCGCCATATTCGGTCATTATTGAGAGCAACCTAAAGTGCATGTAAATTCCCCCAGAGTCGATATAAGCAAGTTTTGAGCACGACTGACAATGATTGAAATATGCAAAGACAGTGCAAAAACAAGCATAGCGATAAGAACTTGTCCATAAACATGGCGATGATACTGTCGAAGTTAGCTGTTGCTTAGCATAGCTCTTTCTCATCTTCGGATAAATCTGAGCGTAAGAATATGGCTTCAGAGCAATCAACCAACGGGATCAGATTGACCAAAACTCCCACGATCTAGAATGTGTCAGTAAATGTACTGTGAAATCAGAAATAAAGCGTGAATTAAAAATCAAGTACAGAAGAAGCATACCTGGAAGGTTGTCAAACACTTTCCCATGTCATTTTGATCGAGGCCTGGTAGAAGCGAATTCATCAAATTGACAGCATGGATTCTATAAAGCAATCATTATAGTATAAAAGCAGAAAAGTTCAATGAGTGAGGATTAAGTAACTCAAGAGAGAAATAAACAACTTCAGCCTACCGGAATGTCTTCCCATCTTTGCCAGGTTGATCCTTTGCGAGCACAGGTGCTACAGCAACCAAAACTTACAGAGCTTGCAATAAACGATGAGGTTCGGTTAGAGTCTCTAATGCTGGGTAAACTCTAAAAAAAGCAGTGTGCACATAATCTTCATACTAAAAAAAACTCACATATCCATCACTGCTGGCAGTACGATCTTTGGACTAATGCTACAGCAACATTGCACGATTGGTGCGACAAACCTGAAGCGGACTCAAATGAATAACCGAGAAAAATGACTTATAAGCAAATTCAACAAATCCCAGAACAAGTATCGCAGCGATATAGATGGATAACGTACTCATTTCTGGCTTTAGAAAACATCGCCAGCTTCAAGCATGGCAACATGAGGGTTACAAACTGGTCCAGCTGAGCTTGCGACAGTCTCATAGAACATGGGATCTGACAGTGGAAGAACCAATTCGGTCATTCAATGACAAATAAGGAAAAAACGACATGGAATGCAAACAAGCTTGAATCCAAAATAACCCCTACCTTGATGAAAGTACGCTGTTTGTTGGACGTTTTCTCCATTCGCTCTCGCTTCACACGAGAAAGCAAACATAGCGAAAGTCTGAATTATCCAAGCACTCAATTACTGAATAGTGGTTAAGCAGCAACTAATCTAATGAACTTCTCTAACAAAATTAGTAAGTGGACTCACTTATTCATGAACATAAGCAAATTCTGTGTGTGCATGCCGTGATTTGATGGATGCAAGTAGGATTCAACAAGCAAAAATACTGACTTTAATTTCTCCATAACCCTAAAAAATAAAGCAGATAAAAAAGAACCTATGATAGCCACATAAACACTTTTGACTTACTCATCGTGGCATTCTGTGCCCATAACGTAAGTAATGAACCCAGAAGCACCTTCCAGATTGAAATGTTGGCAGAGACCCACCACATTACCAAGTCGGAAAGAGCGGATAAGCTAAAATATAAGTAAATATAGCCAAAGGAATTATATCTTATCTCAGCCAAAAGCTCGAAAGATAAAAATTATATGAAATGCTCACCCTGGTGAAGATGACATCGAGCTTATCGCGCCAGTTGACCGAGCCGGGACATTCAACGGAAAGCCTGAAATATCAGCTTTCACAAAGAACTTATTTGAATCCATAAGGCTTGGCTCGTTAGTATACCCACCGGACAAACATCTTGAGTATGGAACCCTCAATCAGGTTATTATTTTCTACTGTCACAAACCAATGCCATGCTTCATCAAGCCATAGCGCACTTCCTACATAGAATATCTGCTTTATTCACAAAATGAAAAGCAATTATACAAAACATACCATGAGTCAGCTGTTTTTCAGGAGGAAGGTTCATAGGCACAAATAATTCAAGAAGTCTCCATGCTCTCACGATTGACTCATTCCAGACGCGCATCAAGGGTCGTAACTTGAGGAAATCTTTTGTGATGCGCATGAAAAACGGAACAGTGTGAATAAATACCTCATCCAGTAATTGTTGAGGAGCATATAGCATTTGTAGCATATAGGCAACAAAAATTCCTGTAAACATCTATAATGAGAGAATATTGGCAAAAACTAAAAAACTCAATACACGCTTTGAGAAAAGTTCAGAACGGCGAATACGTCAAAATGCATTTTGAAAAGCACTTTGCAAAAGAACAGAAGAACAAAAGAAACCAAAGAAACGAAAGAACAATCAAAATGAGGTGAGGTGAGGTGAGGTGCTGCAGACGAGTGGATTTTGAAATGCGCATTTCAAACTGTCCTGGCTCAGCCATTGGTGTGATGGCAATTTTTCGACTCCTACCGTACACCAATATTTTCGGCGGTTGTCGGACTTGGTGCTTCGGTGAGTAGGGTTCAGAAAACCCACCGTATCTCTACTTAGAGGGGGCGCTTGGGGGGTGGCAAATGCTACTACGGAGAGAGGAAGGATGGATCTATAGGTTGACATGAAAAAGGCAGCTGTTTGAACGTTTTGAAGGTAAGTTAATGGCCTGCGGCACCCCCCCCTCAAAACCTGCGGCAGCCGCAGGTTTTGAGGGGGGGTGCCGCAGGCCATTAACTATATCAAAAAAACATTTTTAGCGGACAATATCTATATGAATCAATAGCCTAAACCTCGTAGATTCCATAGGGATGTTTTGAGCCTGATTCGTCTTCTTAGCTCTGATTAATATTTGGTGAAAGCACAGCGATCAAAACCTAAAAGCGATTTTGGTTGGCTTCTAATTCAATAGTTTGGAGGTCTTCTGAAGCGGGATTCCTGAGGTGGACAAAGAAGGAGTAGTGCTTTGTATTGAGTGCAAGAAGATGTAGCTTACTCACCGTTAAGATGAAGTTAATCATGTTTTAAATTACTGCTTTATACAAGGTTGTTTACTGCTCGGAGACCTCAGAGTTCGCTGAAACTTGGCGCATAGGGGTTATTCGACACGCGGATTACGACAATTATGCTTGATTAGAGATACGGTAGGTTACGGTAGGCATACGGTATCTGCGAGTTTGTGTCGTTGAACTTGAATTTTGCAGGATTTCAACAGCGCTTTCATCAAGTCAGTTTAGTCACACAGCTTGTGCAAGTGCGCAAGTCAATGTAATAGGCTTGCACACATACAATAGACGACTATGAAGTTAGTGTGTGCGTTCGGCGCATGCCTGCAGAGGGTTTGAGGACGCGGAATCCGCTATCCTTTATCCTTATAATCGGTTTATGTTTTTCACGCACAACCAGCTGTGTGAGCGGCAGCACAGAACAGTACACACGAACAAATCCAATGTACTAACACGATCACTGTAATGATTCATCATCTTTGAAACTAAATCTTCTTGGTGCACCATCTATATTTCTTTGCTTTCAAATCAATTTTTTACTCAGTTTCGGACCTCTTCGACCTTGTAAGGTAAATGGAAAAAAGCGTGGCACATCTAAGAACTTAGCTGCAGTCATTTCCCCTTAGAAACCGCTTTTGACCTTGGGTCGATACGACCCCCCCCCCCCTACCTACCCCCCCCCCTTACGACCCCCCCTTGCGGCGTGCCGCACCCCCCGCTTTACCCTGGTCTGACCACAATAAGGAGGGAAACTGCTTAAATTCCGGCGTTATCTATTTAGTTTTTAACAAGGGAATCTACCTAACTTAGCTCGGCCTTTTGGCATGGGACATATACGTTCGGAATCAGCTGCAAACGCTGATTCCGAATATGCTAATCCTAGCTGCCGAATTCCATTCCGAAGCGAGTTATCATCACCTAAGTGCTAGTATACTTGAGTTGAGCTTCTTTTTGGTGAGAAAAAATTGATTTTGCTTTATTTCGACATTTTAGCACCTTTTTCTTGCAGATTTTTATCTATAGGCAGTCTTCCCTGTCCAGTAGTATGCCAATTTCGCGCAGGAAAAAGACCATAACACGCTTCGGAATGGAGTTCGGCAGCTAGGATTAGCATACTTGGAATCAGCGTTCGAATCTAATCCAGCATATATGTCCCTTGCCAAAAGGCCGAGCTAAGTTAGGTAGCTTTCCTCATAAGGTGCAAATCTTGCGAGACACCTATACAGGCGAAACGGGATGGCCTTTAATTTCTCGCATTAAAGAACATTTAGGTGGGTTGAATGAGTCAAAAATTTTCCTTGGAGTTAATAGCATGCACTGCTACGACAACACTATCAAAGAAGTCGCTGTTTCCATTTTACAAGGGAGTAACATGTGGGCCGTGCCCTTTCAAAATATTTTATCAAAATGCTTGTCTCGAAGTCCTGATCTCGAAACTATCTTCGTTAGCTGCAGAACGTAGAGCGTTCAGCGCTTCTAAAAGCGCTAACCAAAAACATTTGCACCGACCGAGATCAAACGGATAACCATTGTGTAATAATCGACAGTGCTAACCAACGGACCATTCGAGGCATTTGGCACCCATCGAAATTACTCGTACACTTGTACAAACACGCCAGATGGAGGAAATACGGTTTATGTCGTTCTGCAGATAACGAATACGATTGAGATCAGCGTTTCAAAACAAATGTCATGACATATGTTACATGAAAGGCTAAGGCCATCAAGTATCTTTTCCCCTTAGACCATGAACCTGAATTTGTTGCTCCTAAATCCCTTGAGCATTCTTCATCTTTGTCCGCTCACCAAAAATGAATCAGAAAGATGAGTGTAGCTGTCATAAGTGATTTGTCGTCTTATCAAGAACTCGGCGACTATAAATAGGCGATAGAGGTAGAGTTATCTCACTTTATTCTTACCACTACCTTCTGGATAGTGAACGCCAGTGATCTCTCAAGTACTCCTCTCGCAGTAATTTTAATAAATGCTTTTGCAGCTCCGACGAAGGCGCTGTAGCAAAAACGCGCAAGCTGTATTTCCAACATTTAAACCCCTCATCGCTTTGGTAATTAGCTTATTCAACTCAATAATAGTATCAGGACTTATAATAGAGCGGTAAGCATTTGACTGTTTGTAGCGTGTGTGTGTATTTCTGTCTGTCACGAGATTCATGGAGGAGTTGTAGTAAAGATCTTGAGCTACAGTTTTGGCCATAAGCACCCTACCACCATGTAACATTTGATTCAACTGGCTTGGCACCATTAGGGCGGGGTTTTGTGATCTAAATGAGGCCGCTCGCGCCCGCGACGCACCTGCGTCTCTCTCGCGCGAGTGCTCTCTGATCATTACTTAGCCTTAATTAGGTCACGAAGCCCCACCTTTGCCGATGCAAAGCTAGTTGAATCAAATGGTAGGTCAAATTGTGCAAGTGTACCAACCGATCCGATAAATGGGACCTTTGAAAACTGCGCGACAAACGGTTCCACGCGACTTTTGGCCCACCAAGTGGATTGGTGACGCGTACGGTTTGCAAAGTTGTGGATTTGCTTAACAACTAAATGCGCAGATCATGAATTCAAGCCCAAAAAGTGAGCAAAATGACTATTTTTATGCAAAAACTACGGAAATAATTGCAGGGTCGTCAATTTTTCACAGTTGCATCTAATTATTTGTGAAGATGTTTGTTCAGAAATGTGAGTGACAAGTGACTATCTTTTATGGAAACTACCGGCCATAATAACTTCAGTGACTGACTGAAATACCCTTTTAATCTTCTACACAATGATTTTCTCTTCTTGAAGTTACCACTCCCATAGGGAAAAGCTCATGAAATGAGTAGTTATTTACAATTCCTTCATGATGGTCAGCATCGCACTTTGAGTTTCAGAGCCAACAGAGTCAAAGTAATGGTGATCGAAGCAATTGTGAAGGATGGAACTACTAAACCATCAAGCGAGCTCTACCTTCGGATGGGGAAATGCGGTCGATCCGCGAATGAGTCGTTCCTTCGGGTGATCCCCATGTCCGCCGGCGGCGGTGGCGTATCGAGGAGGAGGAATGGGTCGCGAAATGTTTGAGTTACTTAGATGCTTTCGAAAATCTGCAAGCGACTTGTTTTCACTTGGAAGTATTTGAAATAATTTTAAATTCTAAAAATTCAAATCAGCCTTACAAAAAATTTTTTTCGGGAGTCCGCAATCTTAAGAGGCCCGAAAGAAGTTTTTGTCCTTCCCCCCCCCCCCAAAACGGAAATCCTGGGTCATCACTGACCGGCGCTTGTTTCTTCTTGAAGATGGAATTTCCATGGGAAAGTCGTGCGGCGAAAAGAAGCTCAATAAAACATTTTCCATTTTCGTTTCAAAGCCCATATCAAAAATTCTCGATCCTATATTCCTCTTCTTGTGGCATCGCAATTTTCGCGTTGTTACCAACAACAAACTTGTAAAAGGACTTCTCGTGCGAACGGGCGACCTCCTCCACCCCCTCCTAGAAAGCATCTAATTCTAATTGTCAGCTGCGACTGTTGAGGAGCAGCAACTGCTGTTGCTGATAGTCTTTTGACGCGGAAATCGTAATTGTAGGATGGCTAATCGATGTGATAGGATCTCATGCGAATCGATCTGATAGAGAACAGATGGGTGGACGACAAGGCCAACGTCCCCAACGTTTCGTAATTTAACTTTCTTACCCAAAAGAAAAAATCTCATTACTCATCTGTCGCACGTCCTTTTTTCTGGTCTTCGCTTTCTGCAGAGCTGTGACGACGTTTTCAATGTTTTCTGCAGAGTCGAAAGCATGACGCAGTTTCCATGGCGTAGCGTCCGGGCAGACGTATCTTTTCTCCAATTTTAAAGGCGCCTACCTGACATCGTTATTGCTTTCACCCGGCGCCGTAGGCGGGATCCAATGCGTAAATTTCTTTCTCTTCTTCTAACTGATCAAGAAAGAAATTTCTCCCTAAAAGAGCAGACTTGTTAGGCCTACTCCTGATTTCCATGGTGCAATTGCTAATTCCGGGTGCAGAGCGGGTATCGCTTAGCGATCAGTGGCCTTATCCATCAACAGATCTCAGATAAACTCGTATTTGAATAATCGTAGTGGGTCAGCCTATCTACTGGTTAAGCTAACTCACTAAAATCATTGATAAATACGGCCACTGGGTAAGCAAACCCATTAGCTTCGTAAATATCGACCGTGGATTAGCTTAATCACCTGGGTAGCCTAACCCACTGATCCCGCAGAGTTACGGCCACAGAAAAACAGACGGCAGGGGTGCATTTCAAAAATGTTACGCGCACCGTGCACTCAACGCACCTCGAACTAACAAGGGATGGTCAGAATTCGAAGCGGCCAGTCCACACAAGCTGCATATCATTAAATGCAGCATAAAACGCTGACTTCGACTCCGTATCCCATATCTGCATAGCGCCTATGTGGGCGAAGTTATTGGCGCTAAACGCCGTTATTTTAAGGAACTCGTGCATGCAAAGCGTAGGGCAGTACAGAGCCATGTTCGGCTTAATGCTGGGCCAAAACATGCAGCTAGGTTATTTATATTTCTAAAACCTAAAAATGAGCTGAGCTGCAATAATGTGCTCGGTTTCGCAATTTTATGTACGATTTTTTCGAGATAAAACCGCTCATAACTTCGTCCACAAAGGCGCTAGGCATGTATGGAATACGAATTCAAAATCAGTGTTGAATGCTGCATCGAACGGTTGGCACTTGCTTGAATTGGCCACTTCAACTTTTGACCATTCTTCAAAGAGACTTCAATCTACTTAAAGAGTGCTAGGACAACTTCGATCACTTAATTTCCCTCACAGGAACTGGTGAAAAGGTTTTTGCTAAAGTACTATCCGGGCGAGAACGCACTGCTTTACAAACAGGACCGCCAAATCTAGCACATGACCTCCATTGCTGCATGCTTTCTGTGGCGACACGTTCGAGGAGGTCTAGTATGTTTCAGATATTAGCGCCTTTTTAAATGCTAAGATAGCTTTCAACAGTTATGGACGATCGAGCTTTTTTGCGTAATCGCTGGAAAAAACTGTAATAATGGCGACAATATCGTAAAGGCACATAAGCAACAGATAAAGGTAACCGTCGGAAGGAAAAAACCAAATCCTATTATACCTAAGGCACGGCCATACTGATTGATCCACTTGATCTGCTCCATCCAATTCGCCATTGGTCAAATCAGCAAACTCAGCAATGACAAAATAAATGAAGCGGATCAAGTATGGCGCGTGCCTAACTGTTATTCTCTGTTCCATTACTTCTGATGTTAACTATAGCTTAGAACCATCTTCTAGTAAGTTTTCTCGACATTTGTCCTACTTCACCTCCACTAACGTCTAAGAGAAGCTTCAGAATTTTCGCTGTGACATTTAGAAATTTAAGCAAGTCTCATTTGACATCTTTGTTTCCGTTAATCAAGAAATTTTGCCAATCGCTTATCGAAGGCACAACCTACATTAGCGGAAGGACATCCATCCAACGGAAGAAGGATTCTTATTGAAGTGGGCTTTCCAATAAAGATGCATACCTTCTTAGAGTACATCCAACGCTGATTCCAAATATGTCTTTCCTATCTGCGGAGGGCCTGTGGACATGGAAATATGAAAACTTTCATAGGGAAATTTTGAATTGCGTAGTTGGAAGAAAACCATCCATAAAAATCTCTCGTGAACTCAAATCGTCTGTTGACCTTAAGGATTTTGTACAAAGAAAATTTCCTGCTTGTCAAGTCCGTGATCGCCATTATTCCATTTGAGAGTTGTTGAAGCTGTCACCATTGAAATCACTCTGATCAGGGGTTCACATTTGAATTATTGAACGCTCGTATCTCTCAATCCAGAAGCAGATTTGAACTAAGCGTTCAACGAACTTTGAGAAAGTATGCATGTGGTAATCTAGAAAGGTCGCTTCGATTAAGGATCACTCTCTAATAAGGCCTCTTTCTTTTTGTGCCCTTTCTCAGCTCCATGTTATTTGAACTGCGATGAAGAACCCTGTGGATTAGAGCGCCACATACTACACTTATGAGCTGCAAGTTAGGCCTATTCAAGGCTCTTCCCGCCAAGTATCTCCTCGGAGAAACTCTGCCGCTATTCTTACATTACGCCAGTGATGAAAATTGAAAGAGGGAATTGAAAAAATACAAGCAAAGTCGGTCAGCTAAGGAGTTAAGAAGATAGAAGCAAAGATCGCTTCCAGTCCTGTGTCCATCTTTTAGTCGTCGGCCAGTTCTAAAAGAGAAACAATTTTTGATCTTCCTGTTGTTTTGATTATTTTCTAAACTGTCATTTGGTGGAGTAAACTAAGACCTTCAGCTTTTCAAGTATCTACATCAAAACTTGGCGCACGTAAAGTTTGAGCTAAAACCTAAACTAACGTCCAAAAAATCAACGGGAGTTGATAGAGCGAGAGTATGTGACAACCTGGTACGAGAAACGCAGGGTTCATTGAGGTTTTTGGGAGGTGGGGAGTAAACAGAACAAGGGAATAGATAGTGAAAAGTAACCTTTTTACCTTTACTCAGGAAAATTCAGGTAATTCAACAGGCAGCATACATATGACTGTGAACATTTCACTGAACTCTGCAACGCTGCTGTTTGTGGTGAGTCCGCCAAGAAAACGAGATGATGAAAACAAAGAATTTATTCCGTATTTCAGGACGAAGCTCATCAAACAGTCGAAATGAAATTTGAATATTATCTGATAAGCATATTCGATGAGTACAACTCAAGAAAATAGTTGTGTTTTCCAGTATTGGACTGATGCACGACTTGCATGGAATCCAATCGATTACGATGAGATTACCGAACTTCTCATAAACCGGAATTTTATCTGGAGACCAAATATTGCGATATTACAAAGGTCTCAGTTGCTAATTTGATGTCATGCACACTCTTATTCCACCCACTTTAGTACATCTGTGTCTAATACAAGAAATCCTGATCTGCAGCAGGCTCATGTAAGTAAGACTTTATGTGTTAGTTATGTCAGGTATCAGTTGAAGGTGCACAGCAACGGAGATATAAGTGTGTTCGTATCACATGTCGTGTCGATCTCGTGTGTGCTAAGCGTAAATAATGAGTAATCAACAAATTGAAGGTTATAGACACATATAATCGTTGATATCCCATTGTAGTTCAAGAGCTTCCCGTTTGACAGTCAAATGTGCGCAGTAACCTTCGAGGCCGATGATTTCTTCCTACCCGCAGTTTGGATTAATATGGCAATTAATTTCATTGTAAGTCTTATGGTAAAATGAAAAAAACAAACTTGAGTTTCTTCTTCATCTTTCCTCTTAAGTTACTTGCTTCCCCCACACGTTAATGAAAAAATAAGTTAGGGCAAACATCCACTATCGCGATTTTTATGTCAAGCTTACGACATTTTATATTTTGCGACCTATCAGGTCTCGTAATTTTGGACTAGTCCATGAGGCTAGCCCTCAAAATGTTGACTGGTCACAAACTTTTTGTAAATGATAAATGAATACCGTTTCTTGTTCTGTTCATTACAACTTTTTACAACATGATGTTTCCCAGTCTTTTAATCCATAAAACGTTGCACTTAACCTCCTAAAATTCGTTCACTAAATAATTGATTCTATGTGTATGACAATTTATGTGTTATACGAAAGCACTGATGTAATTTCCTTTCAGTTTAATCGGACCAGGTGGGTTGCGGTAGAGTACCGCACACTGAGCTCTCTCAGGACTACATCACAACTAGATTAAGGGTGAGGTCTGGCGTGCTAATCTAGAAAGGGGTCGTACTGCGAGGTTAGAGATGAGGGGTCGTAACTATAGTAACAGTGGTATGGTTTCATGATCCTCTCCTATAATAATAACACCCGAATCCAAATAAGCGACGGCTAGATTGCTCCTCCCCTATATACGACTATAATGTTGCCTTGAATAGACGCTCGTCGAAAAACAGTTCCTGAACCTTGACACAAGTGAAGGTTTAATGGAGAGCAGAAGACGCGGAGTCAAAGCGCGGCGAGAAAATATCATAACTATCATAACACGCAGAGTGCGCTCTGTTGCCGCATTTGCTGTATTGAACTATGGAAGCGCTTAAGTGTGTTGAGATATGAAAGCAATTTGAAAACGAAATGACGATCATACCAGTCACTGATTCGTTCACGCATCTCACTAAACTGTTTATTTAGAACGTACGTTTAGATTTGCTACGGGGCGTAAGCGGGCATGCTGGATACGGATAATGTAATGACCGGCTGTAAAAAATACCCATCACTTTTGTCACTTTTGCACTGTGACTATCGGTTTAAAATTCTGAATATTTGTTCTTTTCGGGTTGCGTTGAAGTCGCAACACAGCATTCATCGATGTAACGACAGTACATCATGGCATACGCGCTGGTACCGGTCCCTCGATTCTGGTCAAAAAGCTTATAGCGTAAATTGGTGCTAGCTGCCCATAGCTAATCTGGAAGATGTAGACAGGCCACTGCCACCGTCTGGGAGTAATAAGTCCCGGACTATCTAAAGAGTAAGCATTCAAGGCATTCTTCACTAGGGCCCAGATACGAGGAGCTATGGACATGCTAGTACTAATTCTCGCTATATGCATTATGACCAGAACCGAGCAACCGGTTACTAGCACGTATGCCACTGATGTACTGTCGTTTCGATGCCTGCTGTGTTGCGACTTCAATGCAGTCCGAAAACGAGTGTTTTGAAACTTTAAACCAACAGTCTCAGTGCATCAAGCCCACACGTGAGACTATACGCGACGAATGGCTGCCTTATCTCAACACCCAAGTAAAGGTGACCTTTGGCTTGTAGGAGTCAAATGGTATCGCATAAGAAAGCTCCAAGAACATCATTGATATAACATACGCACATCCTCTTTCTGTTACGTGCGCTGTCATTGCTAACATGTTTAGAACCGCGATGCAGATGTGCAACGGAGAGTATGAGCGATGTGAGTCATGAAGAGTAGCTTCCAAAGACATGTAGCAACGGTTATCGTTCTTCACCGCACATTCACCATCGAAGAATTGGCGACAACATTCGGGCTGATGACAAACTACCATTCTGCTTACCATCTTTGATAAAATCAGCCTTGACCATTCAAAAATGCATCTATCGTGCGCAGCTGCAAGATGTTATTTAGTGCACATCCCGAAGGACAATATCAAAAAACAGCTTGTACGTAATTGGCTCTACGACCAATACTGCGATACAGAGCAATGTGTCGTATGTCCGTACAGTAGGGTTTATTGTGCAAGAGTGTGTTGTATATCAACTTGAGCGTCTGAAGTGTAACGCGCGCCATATTGGGGGAGACAGGAAGAACTCTCAGCATCGCTTCAAGAACATTTAGCCGACAAAAGGCGCAACAACTCGACTTCGCCGCTTGGCAGACACAAGCACGAATCGCATGCTGAAGACGGCTTTGATATTAAAGTCACAATTCCTACATCTGAAAAAGAGATCTCGGCTGAGAAAGCTCTCAAATCATTCTGTATTTTTGCAAAAAATCCAGAATAAACAACAAAAACGACTGCTTTTCCATATTTGCTGATTTTTTCCCGTTTTAAATAAAACGGGAAAAAATCAGCAAATATGGAAAAGCACTCGTTTTTGTTGTTTATTCTGGATTTTTTGCAAAAATACAGAATGATTTGAGAGCTTTCTTGGCCGAGATCTATATATCATACATATCTATATATCATATATATCTAATATCATTATACATGCCCCCACAATGGTCGGCCTCATCAACGTGGACTGCGATGCACAGCCGAGTGTATACTCTAGTAGGGCCTCACAATCTGTGAAGTAGTCGACGTTTCCGGTCTCGGCCGGATGCCTAGCTAAGAGCCGGCCAGGCCAGATCCACCGCCGTCTGGTTTTTGGGTCTCTAGGCGGTTCTCCCGCTCCACACCCGGGTCAGCGTCACCCCATGGACAAAAGTTGACCTACTGAGTCTGCTCTCGTAGGGGAAACATTTTTATTACTCGATCAGTAAAAAGAAGAGAAATAAACCCTGTACATGGTATCCTGCCTACGGCGCCGGATAGTAGCAAGAACGATACTCAGGGCGCCTTTTGGATCGGACAAGAACGACACGTCTGCTTGGACGACAAGCCATGAAGACTGCCTCATGCTCTGCACTTACAATGCCAGGACAATCTGCACAAACGCCGACCTCCACGCTCTTCTCGACGCTGCACAGCACATCAAATACCATGCTATCACTCTGCAGGATCCGGGAAGAAGGATGTGCCACAGATGAGCGAAAGGACCCTCAACATTTGGGCGTTGGGCTTCTCTCTGCACAACCTTTCCATGGAAAATCCATCTTTATGAAGAAAGAACATTGCCGGTGGACTTGGGAATAGCCCAAAGGAACGATTCGGAGATCTACCACATTCTCACCAACCGAAGATGGAGCTTGCTTGATGTCTCAGTAGTTCCATCCTTCTGCACTGGCTCCAATCACCGCCTCCTCTCAGCGAAGGTACGATCCAGTCGACTGGAAAAAAAAGGTCTGCCACAGTGCCGCAAGAGGGAAGAATGTTGTTTATGACGGTAACAGGCTGGAGGAGCTCATATCAAGTTGTGACTGGCCCATCGAGGACGACTCAGCGTACGACTACGACCAACTTCTGAAAGGATTGCGAACCTGCGGAGAGTGCGCCTCAGTGACTTCCGAGAAGAACTTGGAACGCATTTCGAAAACCACCAAAGAATTGCTCGAGAGAAGAAGATTACTGAGGCAGGATCCGAATGCAACTCATCTAGAGCGACTGATAGTCAACGCCAGTTGCAGAACAACTTTGCAGGAGGATCTCAGGAAATACAGGCAAGCCAAGATACTGGAATCAGCCGAAGAAAAACGAAGTCTCAAGAAGTGCCGAAGGGACCTCCGCGAATATCATGTACCGCTGGCAGCACTACTGAACGTAGACTAACTCCGAATTCTTCCGGATATAAGATGGTATCTATCACGAAGAATTTCTACATCGACCTCTGCTGCTCATCAACACCCGTGGGATGCCCGTTGTTCCCACTGGAGAAGCATCACCAAGGATCCTACCTGCTGAAGTGCGTACTGCGATACAGACAATAAGAACGTCCACGGCTCCAGGACCAGACCATCTTTCCGTCGAATTTCTGCGAGCCGGAGGACAAAGTCTACACGAGATTCTCGCGTAGCACCTAACATCTAATCTTCAGAAGGAGAATTCCCGACCAGTGGAAACATCAAGAATCGTCCTTCTCTTCAAGAAGGGCGAACGGGAGGATCTTCGCAACACAAGTTTTCACAAAGATTATCCTTGCTCGCATACGTATTTGCTACTTTTATACTACCCTCCCCTTCACTTGCTTTGTTCACTGGCGACAAAAATCAAAACAGCACTAAGCACTAAAATAACTATCTGGCAATTGATCGTTTTCAGGGTAGCAACGAATGGACGATTGATGATGTAACGTCCAAAGACGTAATTTATCATGTTATTGAAAGTGGATTCGACTCTTTCATGGTATGAAGACATTTCAACCCTTGATCTGACAAGTTAGATTGTGAGTTAGATTCGTCGCTTCACAGGGCAAGCTGACGTTTCATTTCCGACGGAATGCGCAAGCCTACGTCTTCACAATAGTATTGCCGTCCTTCGTGATTGCGTTAATTAGCCTACTCGGAATGTTTTGGTCTAATTTCAATGAAACCGACTACCTAGCGAAAGTAGGCAATCATGTTTACGAAGCATTCGAAAAAGGTATTTGATTGTAGGTCGGATGCGGGCTTTCAGCTATCCTTGCATTGTGCTCGATTCTTCAAATTTCCCAACAATCTATGCCCAAGACCAAGGAACTGCCATCATTAAGTGCGTCAATATTATCATTAACACTACTTTCTCAAGCAAACAGTTGTAATGTGGAGACAATTATAGCACTTTACATTATGGTGAACTTACTGTTGGTGGTTGTTGCTATGCTTATCGTGGTCATGGCGTCTAAACCTTAGAGCTTACAAGGACTATCTCGCTTATCACAAGGGTAAGTTTGTTCGAACAAAACGAAATTTGTCAATGTGTTTATACAGATGGTTTCGTCGAGTGATCCTCATATTAGGTGCGAAGTCTCAAGTCATCTGTATAGTGGCATTTCCGATGGCAGCTTTTATGAATTTAGGTTTCTTGTTCAATTTCGATTTGAAGAGATTAGATTGAAGTAAACATAAATGTTGTTTTTTGTTAATACACCAGTTAAAGTCACATATAGCACAATTCCTATGAGGTAAGTTTAAAGCTATGACGCGGCTAGACCCTCGTGCGATAATTCAGAAATGTTTTCTTCGCATTCATCGTATGAAGACTCTCACTCTCGCGCTCTCATCCCGCGATGGCAAGTTGCGTAGAAAGCACTGAAATATTCGCGAAAAATCAAGCAGATATACAGGGTGCGTCAAAAGTCTGGGAGCCTAGTATCGTTAATATCTCTCTTCTAAAGAAGTCTTTTCCCTTGCTTTAGGTACCAATCTGTAGAGCTGGCTTCAACTTAGATTTGCATTATAGAACAAACCACTCATCTCTCCTCATTACTGTAGGATTACGGTAGAAAAATCAAAGAGGGTTTTAAGCAATGAAAGGCCATATTTTGGCCCAGAAAGGAAACAAAACTGCCTGAAAACTTTTACACTAGGCTAATTAGAGTTGCTGATTATAACTGTAAAGTTCCCAATTTATTATAATGCTTCATTGAAGAGTTATGCCAGGTAAGAGGTAGCGGCCATCTTTTCAATGTTCCTAAAAAGTGCGGTTACACCGTTTAGAAAGCTTCGCAATCTGAATAGTTGAGTATTGAACTCAGCGTCCATAAAAACCACAATACACAAGTTTTTACATTTTTTTTGAAAAATTTGAAACGACAGCTTTTTTCACATTGATACCATATGTTTCAAGTTTCTACCGTAATCCTACCCCCACAATGGTCGGTCGCCTCATCGTGGCGTGGGGGTGACACTGGGTGTCGAACTGCGATGCACAGCCGAGTGTATACTCTGGTAGGGCCTCCCAAGCTTTGAAGGAGTTCGACGTTTCCGGTTTCGGCCGGATGCCTAGCTAAGAACTGGCCGCGCCAGATTCTCCGCCGTCTGGCTTCTTCTGGTCGCTAGGCGGTCCCTCCCCGCTCCAAGCCCGGGGTCAGCGATCACCCCGTGGAAATCAAGAGTAGGCCTAGTAAGCCACCTCTTGTAGGGGAACAAATTTTATTACTCAGACAGCAAGAAGATTTAGAAAAAAACCCTGTACATCGGATCCCGCCTACGGCGCCGGGTGGTAGCAAGAACGATGTCAGGGTACTCAGGGCGCCTTTCGGATTGGACAAATACGACACGTCTGCCCGGACGACACGCCATGGAGACTGCCTCATGCTCTGCACTTACAACGCCAGGACAGTCTCCACAAACGCCGACCTCCACGCTCTTCTCGACGCTGCAGAGCACATCAACTACCACATCATTGCTCTGCAGGAAACGAAGTCCAGGAAGAAGGACGTGCGACAGATGAGTGATGGGACCCTCATCATTCGTGGTGAAAAGGTTCCATCACGAAACGTGGGAGGCGTCGGCTTTGTCGTCCACCCATCTATCGTCCATCTTGTCGATTCGCACGAGATCCTATCACCCCGACTAGGCATCCTACGACTACGACCTCCACATCAGAAGACCATCAGCATCATCAACTGCTATTCTCCAACATCAGCAGCTGACGAATCAGAACTAGATGCTTTCTACGAAGATGTGGAGGAGGTCGTCCGCAACGAGAAGTCCTTTTACAAGTTTGTTGTGGGCGACTTCAACGCGAAAATCGGGATGCCACTGGAAAGGGAATATAGGATCGGGAAGTTTGGATATGGGCTCCGGAACGAAAACGGCAACCGTCTTGTTGGGCTTCTCTCCGCCGCACGACTTTTCCATGGAAATTCCATCTTTATGAAGAAGGAACATCGCCGGTGGACATGGGAATCGCCCAACGGAACGACCCACGCGGAGATCGACCACATTCGCACCAACCGAAGGTGGAGCTTACTCGATGTCTCTGTAGTTCCATCCTTCTGTAGTGGCTCCGATCACCGCCTCCTTCGAGCGAAGATACGACTCAGCCGAAGGCTGGAAAAGAAAGTCTGTCATAGTGCCGCGAGAAGGAAGGAAGTCGTTTATGACGGTAACAGGCTGGAAGAGCTCATATCAAGTTGTGACTGGCCCATCGAGGAGGACCCAACGTACGACTACGACCGGCTTCTGAAAGGATTGCGAGCCTGCGGAGAATGCGCCTCAGTGACTTCTGAGAAGAACTTGGACCGCATCTCGAAGACCACCAAGGAATTGCTCGAAAGAAGAAGATCATTGAGGCAGGATCCGAATGCAACTCATCTCGAGCGACTGATTGCCAACACCAGTTGCAGAACAGCTTTGCAAGAGGATCTCAGGAAGTACAGGCAAGCCAAGATACTGGAAGCAGCAGAAAGAAGACGAAGTCTCAAGAAGTGCCGAAGGGACCTCTGCGAATATCACGTACCGCTGGCTGCACTACTGAACGAAGACGGGACTCCGACTTCTTCCCGATACAAGATGGAATCTATCGCGAAGAACTTCTACACCAACCTCTTCCGCTCATCAACACCCGTGCAGATGCCCGTTGTTCCCACTGGAGAAGTACCACCACGAATTCTACCTGCTGAAGTGCGTATCGCGATACAGACCATGAAGACGTCCACGGCTCCAGGACCAGATCATCTTTCCGTCGAACTTCTGCGAGCCGGAGGACACCGTCTACACGAGATTCTAGCGTCGCATTTGACATCTTACCTTCAGAAGGAGAAGATTCCCGACCAGTGGAGAACGTCAAGAACCGTCCTTCTCTTCAAGAAGGGTGAACGGGAGGATCTTCGGAACTATCGTCCAATATGCTTGCTGAGTGTGCTGTACAAGCTTTTCACGAAGATTATCCTCGCTCGCATATCAAGGACACTGGATGAAGCCCAACCCCAAGAACAAGCTGGATTTCGCAAAGGATTCAGCTGCATGGACCACATCCAGACCGTTTCGAGGGTCATAGAAGTCTGCCGGGAGTACCGACTGCCTCTCGTCCTAACCTTTGTCGACTACGAGAAAGCCTTCGACAGCGTCGAAACCAACGCCATCCTGTCTGCGCTAGTCGATCAAGGAGTGGACCCAACTTACGTGAGGACGTTAGCCGACTGCTACAAGGACTGTACAACGACGATGCAGCTATTCCATCGCCCCCTGACCATACCAATCGGGAAGGGGGTCCGACAAGGCGACACAATCTCGCCGAAGCTGTTCACCGCGGCCTTGCAGTGGGTGATGAAGTCACTGGACTGGGACGAGAGAGGCATACGAGTTGATGGGAGATTCCTGTCCAACCTTCGTTTTGCGGACGACATCGTTCTCTTCTCGAGCAGTATCACCGAAGCAGAGACGATGCTGAAGGAACTAAACGAAGTAGGGAAGAAGATCGGACTGCGAATAAATCGGAAGAAGACTCATTTCATGAAGAACGCCCTTTGCGAAGATGCAGAAATGGAATTGGAAGGCACCCCGATTATGGAGACGTCTTCCTACGTGTATCTCGGACGTTCGATGAACATGAAGAACGACTTGAGGGAAGAACTCAACAGGAGAAGAAGAGCAGCCTGGGCCGCCTTCGGGCCCCTGAAGGAAGCCACCGACCAACTGACGGACCCGGAGCTTCGTGCCCACCTGTTCGACTCAACCGTTCTCCCGGCGCTCTGTTACGCAGCTGAGACTTGGGCCGACACTGTAGCCACGTCGAAAGCTCTACGGACCACCCACAGAGCGCTCGAGCGCAGTCTTCTGAAGATGACCCGACGCAAGCAACATCTAGTCGGACTTCGCAGCACGGATATGAGAAGAATGTCCCGTCTTCGTGACCCAGCGGAATACGTCGCGAAAGCCAAACACCGATGGGCCGGTCACATAATGAGAAGAACAGACGACAGATGGACACTAAGAACATCGGAGTGGATTCCTCGCGAAGCCAAACGTCCCCGAGGAAGACCTCCAACGAGATGGGCAGACGTGTTCGTGGAACGGATGGACCAGGCTGAGAAATCAGCTGGATACGATTTTTGCACCTGGAACTCGTGGACGCAGCCACCGACGTCAGCCAAGAAGATCGTGGATGTCAGAAGCGAGGGACAGGGAAAAATGGAAACTTCTGAGCTGGGGCCCGCACGTCACGTGAAGCCGGGCCATCTAAGTATCTAAGTAAGTAAGTACCGTAATCCTATAGTAATGAAGAGAGACGGGTGATTCGTTCTATAATGCAAATCTAAGTTGAAGCCAGCTCTACAAAACGGTACCTGAAACAAGGCAAAAGACTTCTTGGGAAGAGAGGTATTAACGATCAAACGTTCGATACATTTTTTTGGGACACCCTGTAAAAAGCGTTCCCTTGACCGAATTTCAATAGACTTATCTAAAAGACGTATGCAAAAATAGCCTTGGTCTCAGTGCCTGTCGCGCTTCTATACAGTCTGCCCCAATCCTAACCAGGCCAAAATCGGCATGGCGGGAGTCCGCGCCGCGAGGGTTTCGCGCCACATCTGCGGCTAGCTAGTCTGCTCTCTCCTCGATCTCTTCACTCTCTGCGCGCGTATGCAGCGCAATCCCCAAGCGCAGCGGGCGCGCAAATTCAGCCGACGGTTCGGCCTGATCTCGATTGGGGCAAACTGTAGCTTCTAAATTTTTTTCCGAAGACGGATGGTCGCTGGCACGCAGGTAACATTCGCAAGCATTTATTTTCCATTCATGCAAGAACAGCTCTTGGCAAAAGCAAAACTACGATTCAATAGCGCAAAGCCTTTTCTATATTGTGTACATCGAAGTGTTGCAAAATATCAACAGCATCTCTAGCTATAGCTAAAATTGTAAATACTAAAAATTTTAGTTTTTTCGTTTCAAAAGTATTAGTTTGGTAATTGCCAATCTTACAAAAACATATGACAGCCATTTCCAGCTAAATAAAGTGTATTTTGTAGAGGATGACCGCAGCATCATGTGACATAAAACTGAGATCAAAATCATCAGTATCTTTGCAATTGCAGTATTGCAAAGTTAGGCTCCCAGACTTTTGACGCATTCTGTATAGACCCTTAGAGCGCGCCTAAGATGCCTGACCTACTACCCACTACAAAGCGGCTGATGACGCTAATAGGATTTTGGCATGTGAGCTATATAATCTTCGCTAGCAGAGCGTATCAGCTTTGGTAGTGAAATTTGCCTTATTCGCGGCAAACAGTTACTGATTTTTCTAATTTCTGAGCATGTATCGGCAAAAATGACTACAGCAGGTTTCTACTTAATTGAATGGTATACCCGCCTTCGCCCTACCATTTTACTACATTTCCATACACATTTCTCATTTCGCTGTCCTTGTCCCTCTTTCACTTATATGTGCCAATTCCCTGCCCTCACTATGTGTAACCAGCGAGCTCAGTTATTCATGAGCCAACTCTCAACGCTCCCAGTCTAAAACTTTCGAAATCGACAAAACTGATAATGGCGGTCGCTAACTAGAAGGACGAATAATGTAATCAGTCAGCATACTTGTTTATACCGCCTGTACCGATTTCCAGCACTTTAACCCAAAGATTGCCGAAAATCGACAAAGTCGAAATCGATTGGTACGAAAAGTAGTCTCATGTTATTCGATCCGCTCTGAAGTATCTGTGTGCAAAGTTTGGTGGATCTGTTCAAAACGGAATCTATTTGAAACATATGTACAAACAACATTCAGCTTTTTTTGTGGAGTGGGAGATGTTATAGTACGGTAAATATTCTGATTATGAAAGTAATAATGATGCAAGTTTACCTGTCACATTTATTGATTTTGATAATTCGAGGTGAGGCGCTGGAAATTATTACGGAGCATGCTGGCTGCGAAGGCACAATTTGGAAGGAACTCGCATATGAAAGATGGGACAAGAACGGGTATGATGTGTAGGAGTAGAACCAGGGCCCGGCACGAGTTGGGCAAATGACAAGCTGGAAATCGTTTTGGGGCCAAAAAGCAAAGGGGATATCGTTTTTGCGGGATCTAGGGCGGAGTCCCGGAAGAAGATTCCAAGTGCAAGCAAAAGAAGGTCGAATCATGCTTACTTTATACATCTAATTCATTGGGAAATAGTTTTCATAAACCTCAACGCACAACAGATTTCGCGCGCGCTACGCCGCGTTGCTGCTAATTGCCGCGTGCGCGACATCGCATGAGCGATGCCGTTGAACAGCATGATTACATGATCAGTTCTCAATGCAGGCGTAACGATATAGCACCAAATTACGTAAGCGAACGGAAAGAGGCTAGTATAAACAAAGTATGAAATATTATGAAAAACTTATATGAATGGGAGGGGTAATAAGCATTTTTTCCAAAAATTTGCAAAACTGGTAAATGAAGGTGTGAATTCAAATGGCTCGTTTGCAGCGCACAGACGACCATACGGTATCAAACTTGGTAGGTACATGAACACGGGCCTGCAGGGCTTAACTTAGAAGTTTCATTAGAAAATTATGTGACTGAAGGTTGTGGCAAGCTTTTTTCTGAAAATTTCCCACTATCAAGAAAATGGAAAAATGGCTCGTTTGCAACGCAGAGATGACGAAATCACACGACATTCGCTGTGTATGCGCGCAGTGGGACTAGGGAACAAAGTGTGTAAAATCATGAAAAACTTATGTGAATGAAGAGCGTGCCCAACTTTTTTTCCAAATTAGGTGGGCAATTGCCCACCTAATGCCCACCTGAAGTGGGCAAAACTTTCAATTCACATAATTTTTTCAAAATTTTTACATAAATCTGTTGTGCACCTGAAGTTTACTTCTTCTTCTTCTTCTTTATCTTCGCCATTGTCCCGCGGGTGCAGGTTCGGCGGTGGTGCATTTTTGCTTCCATTTGACTCGATCAGCTGCTTCTTGTGGTTTGAGCTTTGCAATGTGCAGGTCGTTTCGAATGGTGTCCAACCAGCGTTGCTTCGGACGGCCACGTGGTCTCTCCCCTGTTGATCTAGACGAAGTGCTGTTTTTGCTACTGTATTATCTTCACTTCGTAAAACGTGACCATACCATCGTAATCTGGCACCTCGCATCTTATCCGCGATAGGTGCAACTCCGAAAATGTGTCGTACATCATCGTTCGTGACGCAGTTTCTTCTCGTTAGGCCATGTATCCATCTTATCATTCGCGTCTCCATCGTGCTCAGGATCTGCTCGTGTTTTCTGGTTGCTGGCCAACATTCGGCTCCATACAGTACGACTGGCCTCACCACAGTCCGATACACTTTCGACTTGAGATACAACGGAATTTGTCGGTCGCAGAGTACTCCTGTTACTTGCCGCCATTTTAGCCACGCCGCGTTCGTCCTAGCACGAGCATCAGTGATCGTGTCGCAATCCGACGTCACTCGGGAGCCCAGGTATTTGAATATCGTGACTTTCTTCAGCGGCTGCCCATCGATGCTAATTGTGCCATCGGTTTGCTCTCCGCATTCCAGGTACTCGGTCTTTGCTACGTTCAGTCGTAAGCCATATTCCGCTAATCGTGTCTTCCATCTCACAGTCTCCTCTTCAAGCTCTTGTCTCGATCCGCTGCCAGCTCGACGTCGTCTGCGTAAAGGAGCGTCCACGGATGCGGCAGCTGGATGTCCTTGGTTACTGCGTCCATGCACAGTATACAGAGAAGCGGTGATAGAGCCGATCTTTAGTGTACTCCGACTTGGATTGGGAATGGCGTTGACGTTCCCACTGTACAGCGTATGGCGCCCGTCGTGTTCGTATAGAGGAGTTTGATCCAGCGAACGTACTCTTCTGGGACGTCGTGTTGTCTCAGCGCATACCAGATCAGCCCGTGTAGTATCCGATCAAATGCCTTTTCTAAATCCAGGAATGCGAAATAAATCGGAATCCGTTTCTCCAAATGCCTTTCCATTAGCAATCGTACCGCGTGGATGGCGTTGATGGTGCCAGATCCTTTTACAAAGCCGCATCGATTCGGGGTGACCTCCACTATACTTCGAATGCGTGCGTCGATGACTCTTTCGAAGATCTTCATCGTGTGGCATAGCAAGCGTATTGTTCGATATGTTGAGCAGTCGCTGACGTCGCCCTTTTCCTTCCAGATAGGGACTGTAACACTCGTAGTCCAGATTCGCGGCAACTGTCCTTCTACGATAATGTGGTTAAAGAGCGATGTGAGAGATGCCGCTCCACGCTGCCCCATCATCTTCCACACTTCAGCAGGTATGTCGTCGGGTCCCGGAGCTTTCCCGCTAGACATCTTCCTCAGTGCCTGCACAACTTCTGCCTCCTCGATCCGAGATACCGGTCCAAATGTGGGGGCTCCTTGTGGTACTAACGGGTGCGGGAACTCCTCATTAAATAGCCCTTTGTAGTATTCACTCCACCGCTTGAGTATTGCCCTCGGCTTCGTCAGGGGGTTGCCCTCTGCGTCCTTGATGTGCATGACGTTGTCGATGTCCTGCTTCGCTCGATGTCGTGCAGCGGCCAGTCGGTAGACCTTGTAAGCTCCAGCAGGTCCTTCCAGCTCGTCGTAAAGTCTCTTGTAGTGTGCTTCCTTTGCTTCGGCTACCGCGTGCTTCGCCTTCGAGTTCTGTTCTCGATATCGACGGAAATCCTCATTTGAGTGTGAGCGTTGCCAGGCTTTGAAAGCTTCTTTCTTTTCCTTGATCACTTGCTGGATTGACTCAGACCACCACCAGATCTGCTTGTCTACAAACCGGCGTCCTGGCTTGGTGGTTCCCAAGATTGTCTCGGCCCTCGATCGTATCTGCGAGGTAATCCGATTCCATTGCTCTTCAATCGATTCTTTATCATCGTTGATACCACTGCTTTCGTTAAGAGCATTTCTGACTTGCTGGCGATGTTCGGGAAGCTTCCACCATTTGATCCTTTTTGTGATCGTCCTTCTGGCTCGTGAACCTAAGTTGATGTTCCGTCGAAGATCCAATACGAGCAACCGGTATTGTGGCGCAAATGCATGTGTCGCCGTGGGTATGACCTTCGCGTTCATCACCATCGGCAAGTGGCATCGGCGCAGCATCCAGTAGTCGATCTGAGTTGAGCGGTCTCCACTCGCGTACGTGATCAAATGTGACTCCCGCTTCTTGAAAAATGTATTCGCTATCGCCAAGTCGTGTGCTTCTGCTGCTTCCAGGATGCGTTCTCCATCTTCATTCCTCTGACCGTATCCGTTTCCACCATGGTATCGCTTGAATCCATAGTGTTCGTGGCCAACGTGCCCATTGAGATCGCCTCCTACGAAGATGTAGTCTGCGGCGTCAAATGTCCTTAGCAGGATGTCGAAGTCCCTCCAAAACACGTCCTTCTCGGCTTCGATACATGCGGATTGCGGGGCATAACACGAGACTATTCGAAGCGTGGCATCATCTGCTTCGATTTCCATCGCCATCAATCTATCTGAAATGCGCGTCACTTCGGTCACTAATTCGCGGTATCTACCGCTGACGATGATCGCGACTCCATTCTGGCGGCTGCTATCTCCCGTGTAGTATAAACGATATCCGTCGCCGATGTCCTTGGCCTGCCTCCCTTTCCATTTCGTTTCCTGTACACACGCGATGTCGACGTGTCGCTCCTTCAGCCTATCGCATAACTCCCCACTGCGGCTCGTCAGCGTTCCTATATTAATCGTCGCTAGTCGGATTTCCTGGACTCGCTTCTTTGGCCTGCCTCGTCCGGGGGCAGGTAGCCCTAGCTCACTATTCGCGCCATGCGGGCAATGACGCGCGTCGCCTCCGGGGGACGCCCTAGCAGCTTGACAAAAATCCTTAATAGTCCGATGCATGTGACACGACTGATTCGTACAGTCCCCGGCGCGTCGCTCCGCCTGACGGGACAGTGCCCTCGTCGTTTGCCGGGGTTGTTCCCCTTGCCAGCCGGCACCGCGGGGAGGTGACGATGGGACTTTGCCGGCCGTGCACCTGAAGTTTACTATATGGTGAGATTTTGGTTCCGAAACTCCTCCTCTTGTCTTTGTTAGAGCCCAAAATCGCCTCAGCAGCTTAGCTTTCTAAGATGGAAAGCGCGCCCCAGTTAATCGATACGCGGGGGAACGGCGTCTCTCAGTCGTATGACTGCGTTTGACTGACTTCATCATTTTTCTTGCTTATTCTTCTTCCTGTTTCTTATCTTGATACAGGTGAGGAGTGATTAGAGGAATTTGGGCATTTTGGGCGCTTTTGAGTGCTTTTAGGCGGTGTGGCCGGTGCTTTCGTTGCACAAGCACAAAGCGTCATTTTTGGGCTCAAGGGCGTATTCGTAAAAACTATCGGGATCAAGAGGGAATTCGGGAAAACCCCGTTTGCCCACCTCGTGCCGGGCCCTGAGTAGAACGGAATGCTGATTATCATGGTAACTGGAAATAGGCTGAGCAAGCCGAGTGTTCCAGCTAGTAGAAGGATAAGACAAAATTAGGATCTCCAATTTCCTAAAGAAAGGATTTCATTTTGGAAATTCGATACACTAAATGGCAGATCCCTTGATATTGTAATCACATAAGGGTGGTTCGGACTGTGACATCAGCGGATTGCCGTTTGATCTTGAAGCTTCTGAACTCAATTTCCAAACTACGCAAACGGCAAATCAGTCCTTAGTTACTTCAAAAAACATGATAATTGTAAAAAGCAGAGAGTTACAGAGAGTTGCATTATCAGCAATAAGTTCGCATCAGTCGGGTATTGAGCACCTTGATGGCAAAATTGAAACTACGTAAGCTTCGATTATAAGTTCAGAGCTTCTTGAAAAAGTCCATCCGCAACAGATGTTGGAAAGAGGAAGAAATTGGTTAATCTTGACTCATTGCTCTCTAGTGGGCGGGCTTTCCGCACGAACAGCACTTTTTAAGTGTGGAAAAGCAAGTCATGATATTCGAAGCTACGAAGCACAGTCTTGAACTTACATCCAGGGGGTTTGAGAACGATGAATATTTCAAAGTCGCCAATCAGCCGAGAAGCTGCCTTTGAATAGATCAATGTTATGTACGAGGGTATAAGGCCAAAGGTATGCTTTGAGTGAAGTGCTGTGATATTCAATACAGGACCATTTGAGCAATTTCAGACGTTTTTGTCCCTGTTGCTCATTGAAATTTTTAACTCAATAAACGCAACTCGGATAGGTGCTTGACCGAAATTATCGTTCATTTCTTTTCAAAGCGGTACAGGACTTATGGAAAGCCACTTCAACTAAGAAGACTTTCCTTATAAGATGTTTCGTTTTTGACTTCAAGAATTGTATGGGATCTCGTTTGTATGAGAAATTCGCAAACGAAATTGTGACGATCATACTTTTCGACCAACTTGTTTTTGTGTATTACGCAGCTGGGAGAATTGCAAGACTTCTAAACCAAAGATTAGATTTTGGCGTAGTTGATAGCTTTTGAATTAGCTCGAATGTTCGTCGATGGTGCTCTAAGCTCTATGAGGTGTGTTGTAAAGCTTGCTTATCTCTTTTGATTTGTTTTGACAGCCTTGGCTGGAATTCCCAACAAGTGTAACGATAGGAAACCACAGTCATTTTCGGCTTGATGTAGAAAATTATCTCAAAGCTCCTTAGCACCTTTCCTGAAGACAGAACGAAAACTTCAGAACAATAGGTGCTTCTAATTTCAAACACTAGATAGCACAGTGAATGAAGCATTTTTCAGGATATTTCAAGGGAAAGTGGGAGGTCCCGCGAGTTGAGAATATTCTCGGGTAGGGGAACGAAGACCGCCAGTTTGCTCCGCCTCCACGGACTACTGGTCCTGCGACGACATGCAACAACACTGCAAAAGGAACAGTTGGCCGCGAAAGGCGACTCAAACTGGCGGCCTTCGTTCCCCTATCCATATTCTCCTCCCACCGTTAAAGGAGCCTGCCGCAATGAGGGTAGGGACTATATGTCGCCGAAAGTAGGGGGTCCCGTCGGACATCTGCAACAAAAACATATCCCAACACATGCACAGGCTGAGTATCTGCTGCAGAGTCCGCACGGGACCCTCCCACTTTCGGCGACATATAGTCCTCTACCCAAATCCGAGCAGTCAGGGAATTCTAACAGTATGTTTGCTGAACTTAGGGTTTGACGAAGCGAAGTACAGCTATGACAATATTGCGAAAACTCTCGGCGAAAGTGGCGAAGTCTGCGAATTCGCTTACTTCGCCAATTTTGTCGAGAATTTTCACATTTTATAGTCATAACTGTCCGCAAGGCTGCTGGAAACAACCGTCAATGACTAAGGAGTCGGAAACTCAAAATTTGCCGTGACTTCGCTTAGTGGGGTTGCTTGACCTGCCGAGCAAGGATGTCATACTCATAAAATTAACATCTGGACTCCATGCAGTGACAATAATCTCAGAAAATGGATCTTATCCAGATTTGATATTGCTTACGTGATCAGCATGTCGGATAAACCCCCTTACGCTAAGATTCAGCCAAATCTTCAGTAGAACATAATGTTTTTTGTATCATATACCTACCGTAATCCTCGCCGCGACGACAGAGGTTTGCAGAACAGCCTGCCCTTGTAGCTTACATCACAGCCTGATGCCATGAGTGCGCTACGATGAAAGAAAGGAAAGTTATTGGAAACTTGCAAAGTTTAGTTTCCATCCTGATAAATATAGGAGAAAGGGTTACCAGAGGCAAATGCCCCGTGGACAGCTTGAATGGTGATAGACGAGCCCTTGAGTCTGGAAGGAAAATCTCCGCGGATTCTTAGCGAAACGCAGCAACATTATATATCATTCTGTTCGTCATGAGAGACTAACAAGGGAAGGATACTTGGTCGAAGTGGCGTTTCCATATGAAATGCATACTATTTTATAGAGCATGCAACGCTGATTCCGAATCTGCCTTCGTTATCTGCCGAGCGCCTCTGGACGCCGAGTTATGAGCGTTCCTTTGGTTGAAAAATTTAATGCGTAATTAGAGCAAAATTCGTCAGAATTGCTCAAATGGTCCGAAGTTGGTTATCAGAGCACTCCATTACAAAGGATACTTTCTGTCCAAAACACTCATACTACATGTTGCTCTATTTAGGCGCTGAAAAGTCCGTAATAGTTAATTTTACTTAAATTCTGAGTTCATTTTTCGCTCCAAAAAATTTTTATAACTCGACGTCCAGAAGCGCTCGGCAGATAATGAAGGCAGATTCGGAATCAGCGTTCAACGCTCTTCAAAATGGTATATGACCCATTTGGAAAGGCCACTTCGACTGATTCGACCTCCCTTGTAAGAACTCTGACAACGTCGCCGACGTTAGAAACCATTCCTTAACGAGATGCTGCAAGTCGATTTTTTGCGCAATTTTTATTAAATTTCGACTCTTCGCATTATTTCTAGATTCGTTTATAGTCCAAAGAAACCGGAGATCGTTGTTGCCATTTTAGGGGAAATCTTCGCGAACAATATGTGTCTAGCACGAAAGGTTCAAAAAGGCATTTTTTAGCGTTGCTGGATATTGACTTATCACCCACTTCAATACCGCTCACAAAATGTGCAAATTTCCGGAGTCACGGATTTCCGCAAAAAAACGGTATTTCGCTGACTCCTCGATATTCCGCGATTTTGCATACATCGCGCGAAATTTTGAAAATTTCACAGAATTTCCGGGCGCCGCGCACAGGGCTTTGTCCCGGATGCTTTCATCCTTTCATTGTAAAGGTTGTGCTTTCTTGCACGCTCACAGTAAAGGTCGGAATAATAGCTTACGTATCAACGGTTGATTGCCGCGTTCCAGGCGTAGCTATTTGTTCATACCACAAATTTCCGGCACTTTAGCATTCTCTTACCTTTTCCTATTACAAGGTGAGGGAATAATAGCGATGAAAGAACAACTCGGAAGCTACGCAAGCTTTAGCAACATTTTTAGAACAGAATTAGTTTCAGTGACAATATGATCCTGGTTCAGTTCACTTCTCGCATAGAGTTGACAATTCGCTATCAATCTATGATCAACTACTATGTGCACGTCGTCATTAATATCACTTCTGCGCGCTTCTGTCTAGTTTGAACTTTCATGAGACTCACCCAAGGCTCGGCACGAGCTGGCACCAAGGAAATTTCAAAACGAATTCTCGTTTGATCCTGAAAATTCCGTGCGAAGTCCCCTTTGACCTGTTTGAAGACCCGTCATAATTTTTAATCTATGTAAAAGTATGTAGTAGAGTTTTCATGCATGCTGATTTTATGGAACAACTCTTCACAGCTTTCTGAGCTTCTTAAGGGGTTGAATCACATCTTGAGAAGCAGCAAAAGCCGATTTTTTGACTGCGGAGCAGACCGAGTGATCGTTTCTGCAGGAAATCCGCGCGGGACTCTTCCAAACTCGGCGATATATAGTCCTCCACCCCTCTAATAGTAATGCCTTAGTACAAATTGCCAAGATTTATCGACAGTCGATCACGGAAGCTTCAAGAAAGATTCTGAGTTAGTAACAGGTATCTGCTTACGTCAAGATCCATACCTCTGGCATTTCGCTTACAATCCCAGCACGGTTACCACCACTACGCCACCGGTGCGTGCTACAGTACGGCGGCATGGATCCCAAATTTGAACGGGTCTTAGAGCGATCGACGCTCGTAGCTTCTTTCGGAAGGGTGTTCCGCAGTCCACAGGCAGTAATTGAGAGCGCGAGCGCTGTGGAGAGGAATTGGCGGCGATACAGGAGTTCCCAAAGCCTCGCCGGCTTTCCTTGCAGGCTCATTTAGCACCTGCAAGGCGCCCTCCCACTTCTTACACGGCCCCGCCCATTCGTCCCGCTCACTGGCTAATCTCATCACGAGTTGTGCTTGAAGGATAGTTGAAGGTTTTTTAGAGAAGGATGAAAAGTGACAAACTAGAAATTATGAAGCCTACCACTCGAAACATGTTGCCTTTGCTATGGGGAAGAGAAAATCATTACTGACTGAGCAATCCGACCCTGAGACATTAACTTTCCTTTGTCGGAAATAAGGATACTCGTTTTCTCGAATTTCAGCCGAGATAAGTGTATGTATATATTACATAGGTGCGTATGATTGTAAATGTATCTATTGAGCAAGTTGCAGATGTTCCAAAATTATTCTGGCAAAGTTTTGATTTTTTTATATGGAGTATGTGAAATATGGCTTATCGCGTTGATTTGTTTGGAGCAAGACTTGTGTCACAACCGAAGAATTGAGCTTTCCATCATTTTCAACGATTCTCAGAATTTGATTGAGAGCTCAACACTGAAAATCCTTGACAATGTATTCATTTATGCTCCGGTGTCCATGTTAATGAATGATAAGAAAAATCCTCCTTCAGAGAGGTTCATTACTACTTTTGCAGAAAAATTTGAGCTAAATATCAGCTGAGATTTTGTAGATTCTGTTTGCATGCCATTTCTATCCAACTTACTATACGATTAGATCGACGCAAAAGTTCTCAAATCAAAGGAATTCTGACAAATTATATGATCTAAACCTAAATTCATGGCTTGTTCAAAACGAAATGGGTTTTGCGCTTTTGGGTGGTTATCCCTTTTCAACTTTTCGTTTCAGAAAAACAAGCTTCTAAAGATAGCACTTCAAAGTTCGTAATTTTGAGTTTGGTTGTAAATAGTATCATAGTAGCCATAGTTATCATCAAGAAATGTCTGTGACGTCTATAGCGATGCTCCGTACCTTTAGCATTGGCTATGGTATTGTGAAGAAAAACTATGGGAAATATTTCTTTGCGGAGAAAATTACCTTCTCTATACTAGAAAATATTATTCAATGCTTACTTTGAGTGCTGCAAGGTCTTCGTGAATGTCGAATTATCTTTGCTTATAAAATGCAACAATAAAGAAATTTGCCTTACAAGGACGATTTTTTTATGAATTCTTGCATTTGCATGTCTATGCTATTCCCGCAGGCCGCAGGCCCCGAATGAGGCAAGCGAAGGAGTGGAGCGATGGGTGGGGCTTTCTACGCGAGGCTGCGAGGGGCCTTCTGGAGTGTGAATGCTGGTGCGATTGAAGGTGCTAGAAACTCCTGCGTCCCCTCCGGAGAAGATTTTGGCAAGGATCCAAGAAAACTTGGCAAGGATAACTCTTAGGAATAAATATTCAAAACTTGCCTGGATATGGCTTTGAAAAATCTGAAAAACAGATTTGTAATGCAAATTGGAAGGCGCATTCACTGGGCCTAAAAGTAAGTGAAAAGTTGCAATGTAGTGGTGAGAAAAGTCAACTTTCTCATGGAAACTTTGTTTCATGAATTTTGAAATTACAGATTGTTGAAGACCGGGATTTCCATTTGAGATCCATTCTTATTTCTTTCAGATAAACGACTATTTTGTCTTTTGATTTAATGAACCAAAGCAAACAAAATGTCATAAGAACACATCTAAAGGTTTGAGTCACGATGCACCATGTTTGTCTCATAACTTTAAACTTACTCTAATTCTGAATTTCGGCACTAGAGATTTTAAAGGATTTACCATTGAAACTATGTCGGTAGTCCTTTCAAGGCTCTACACAATAGAAGAGGTTTATCACATGCGACTTATTGCTAGTTAACATTATTTCCTGAGTACCACTCCCTACTTTCAACTTCCAATCCAGAAATTTCAAAAAAAAATTCACTTAAACTTTTCCACACAGCGTTGAGCTTGATCCTCAGCTTTTAATGGTGAATTTTGAAGGCTCAGTTTTTGGTAAAAGCAGAAATCGAGTAGTGAAACAGAGCAGTTTATCTATCCGGTAGGCGTATTACTGAAAACTGCGCATTCAATACTTATTCAAGTTTGTCCTTCGTATCCTTGAAAGTTAATTCTAGGGAGAGTTATAAGAGTGTGTTATAATGGATGTCCTCGCCAAGTTTTCCTGCATCCTTGCCAAAATCTTCTCCACTCTGTTCGCGCCTCCAATTATCTTGAACGGCTACAGGCGGTAAACCTTTGGTCCTCCCTGCACCGCATCCTTCCGCAGATACCGAAGGCGTAGATCAGCATTACAAACTTACCTATATAATAATGTGCACTTCGACCAAATACCTTCGACCCTGCTTTTTTTTATTAGGTTTTCTCTAGTGTTAACAAAAATCAAATTGTTTGCGCACTCTTGTAACTTATATTATATATACAATCTATTTGATTCATTAATGCCAAAAATTGAGCGGATAACTAAGTTTGCCAAAATCGCTCAATTGTGGTGGTGGCGGACGTATTAGGTTCGTTAATAAATAACTTCGGTCGCTTTTGCGGCTCTTACAAATGCTGCAAACAAATTTTTATCCCAGTGTCTGGTGTACCTGGAGAGAGCACTTCAATGGGGACTGAAGTATAAATTTCGTATGAATAGAGAAAATCCGCTAGGAAGTCAGAAACCCCAATTTTCTCATAATGCGCAAGATGAGGAAAATTGGTTTTTTCAAAAGATCTTAAAAGTGGCAGATCACAATTTTCATTGTTGTGAATAGGAAAAACTCCTCTGCATCCAATTGCGACGTTCTCTACATCGATTAAAACATGAAAACAAAGCTTAGGAAGTCGAAGATTTGTGCTTTTGGAAGTATAGCCATGATGAGACATGACTGTCTTTACTGATGAAAGAAAATTTCAAGTATTTGATATGTGATAGAGGAAGCTTTGAACTACTTTTCCACAAAAAACAGTGGGTAGAAGACAGCAAGAAAATCTTTGACGAAGATTTGCATGCCAAAACGAACTTATTTTCCAGCCAACCAATATGTCCTATGGCTGCGCTGACAGCACTGGCTGTGCGTTTCCGAGGAAGAGAGCGCTTCACGAGTAGATAACTCGTAGAAGTATTCGTAAAACTTATGTGCCAGCCTGATACATTTCTGTTTGTAGCAATGAGAGGAAAATACACTTTATAGATAAAGTGGCACAGCTTCAAAGCAAAACAATACTGAGCAATAACTATCAGCCCTGTTGCGACTTTTTGAGATACACGCAACAAACCAGAATCACGAGAGATCACTGAAAAACATGCGATTGTAGAACAAGCAACAACAAATTACACTCAAATCTCTCGATTTGTTCACTTTTAGTCTTCAATAGACATTTCAATCGAGACCCGCTCTGTAGCTTCCATAGTCCACTATATGATCGTAGTTTGACGTACCATCAAGGGTCTTGTCTGGTTGATGAATCGAGTGTAAGAACCGTATTCGGAGGGGGTACAGCGCGAGTTCTGAAAATGAAAACAGAAATAGTTATTCTTTACTGAAAGCAGTAACCGATGCTGGCTTTGATCTATGTTTAGCAATCAAAAATCATTGGTGACTTTAGGTTAATTTAGGTTAATGTCACCAATAATTCTTGGAGTAGAATTATTGGTGACACCAATAATTTTGAACCTTACCCCTACAGCTATGAAGGGCAAAACTACAGCATTCCAAAAAAGTTGCTGCATTTTGAAATTGCTTCTCTGCCGACTGTTAGCAATCGCATTCTGGATAAAAAACAGAACACTCACTTTCCCCCCTCCCCCCCTCCTCTTCTTCAACATGAATCGCGAAATCTATCAAAAGTGATTTGGGGATACTTAAGCAAGTAATCTGTTTCTATTTACGAAAAATTTGTAAAATCAAATAAGCTCTAGAAACTTTGAAAACTTTCTTGAAAATAGCTCGTCATTGCCTAAAAACACCCCAAAAAGTTTTTTTTGGAGCACGATTAACGCAGTCTCCCCCCTTCCTCTCCCAACCTATAAAATTTTTCGCCTTCACTCTCTAACAAACAGTTTTCCTCAAATGTGCCCTGTCCAATTCTCCAACTTTTGTTTAGTTAGTGATGTATGTGACAATATTCTGAGAACTTGGACGCACTAAGGTCGTCTGGAGTGTTTATGACAAGAATTGCAAATGCAAGCCTGAGAAAAGAAAAAAAAACTCGAAAAACAAAAGCGGTGATGCAAGCATAGATTATGGAACCAAGAACTGTTAATACTTGATACACGATATATAAATATATAGCTCAAAACACACCATTGAGCCAGGATTAATGGTTCCTGATCGAGATCGCGTGCTGAAATAAATGTGTGTTTTGAGATGATTGGAAAACTCACGTTCTATTTAATAATTACATATAAATAATAACCATGCTTTTATTTATAATGTTATGAGTAAAATAGAGCGTAAACTTACTTTTTTGCTTGTTCGCTGAGAAGTTTGAACTCTTGGAAATGCACACATGGGAGAAACCGTGAAAAATAGCAGAATCCTTCTCGGAAGCGTGCATTTCTCAGGAAATAAACAATTGGATTCACCATAGAATGCATCATGGCCAATCCATGTGAGAACCACCTAAAGAAGAAACGTTAAACCAATATTGAAAAATATTTTTTCTGGTTAACTATCCTTTCCTTCACTTGAATCTCTACTTCCTTGACTTTCTTTAGTCTCAAAATGGAAAAGTTCCAAATTTAGTGCAGATGCCTGCCCCTACGGTAGCATTACGGTGATTTTCACTGCGTTTTTTCGTTCATCGTGATTTGAATAAATTCTTTAAAGAGAAACTATTTAACACAAGTTTATGCCATTTCTCGCAAGGCACTCATAAGTATATTACATATAGTTATTGTTGGTTATTTATCAAAGGTTAGTAATTTTCATTACTTTTATAAATTTGACTTTTTACTCCTAAACAAACTTACTTCTCAGCATTAACACATTGACGACCAAAGCCTTTCTCAGACCAGTTAACAGTTTTCAGATAAAATCACGCACAATTTTATTTACAGTACATCTACAGTAGCGTTGGAATGCTGGCAAAAACAGTAAAGGTTGTATCTAGATTCAGCATAAAAGAAAACTCCCAGAGTTGATTTGAAACAAATTAGTAGACATTTCAATGGGAGTCATGGTGTGTCAAGCGGTCGTCAATGTGTTAAAAACAAGTTTTACAGACCTTCCTTCACTGAGGAGTTCCGGGGAAGGTATATTTTTACTCCATTCAAGGGCAGCGACGAAACGGAGCCTTTTGGTTATTTACACATTGTGAATTGAAAACTTTTCTTCGAATTGTTATATTCATGAGGAGAACTGCCTGCGCTATTCGGACACCTCTGTCGCCTACAAATCTAACTATTGATTAGGAATATTCACATGTTTTTGATTTCTGCTTTATGATCTCCTCAAGACCTAACGCAGAAAAGTTCTAGATCGTGCAGAAGTCTAGCCAAGTGAGAATATAATATTAGGTTGGTAAGAAAGTTCTCGGACATTTTCAGAAAACATCTGCTATTTCTCGAAACTTAACGCATATACATCAGATAGGGGTACCATTCGATAGAGCAAAGCAAGCTCTACAAGATGGTGTGCAGAAATTCGTACTAGCTTCGACCCATCGTAAGTTTGCACTCAAAAATTGAGTCGTACCGAAATTCAAAAAATCGCAAAAATTTCATATCTTTGTTCAAACAAATCCTACGGATCTCCAACTTGCTCACAAAAATTGCACACTATATCAGACACTCATATGCACCGTTCCTGTAATTTTTTCTCATCTGGAAATCGAGAAAACGAAAATTATCATGCTCGTATAAAAATGAAGCTGTGCTGTTTCCACCGACGTAATTGAATAGTACATGCCCTTAGAAGTATAACCGTAAATTTTCGGCTTTCCGTAAGCCCTATTTGCCGAAAAATATTGATTTTTGCATGGAACGCCCGAGTGAGGAGCGCTCAATTCGGTAATTTTCGGGAAATAGGGCCTGTAGAAAGCTGAAAATTTACGGTTATACTTCTAAGGGCTTGTACTGTTCAATTACATGGGTGGAAACAGCACAGCTTCGTTTTTGTATAAACATGAAAATTTTCTTTTTCTCAATTTCTAAATGAGATAAAATTACAGAAACGGTGCATATGAGTGTCTAAGGTGGTCCGCAATTTTCATGAGCAAGTTGGAGATCCGTAGGATTTGTTGGAACAAAGATATGAATTTTTCGCGAATTTTGAATTTCGGTACGACTCAAATTTTGGGTGCAAACTTATGGTAGGTCGAAGCTGGTACGAATTTTTTGCATACCATCTTGTAGAGCTTGCTTTGCTCTATCGAATGGTACCTCTATCTGATGTATATGCGTTAGGTTTCGAAAAATAGCAAATCTTTTCCGAAAATGTCCTGGAACTTTCTTACCAACCTAATAGCACCAATCGCTTTTTTTCTCACTGCGGTGCTGGCGATCAATTTGGATGATCTCAAAAGTAGGATTTTTTGAGCAAAATTTTCTAGAACACTTTCCCAATTTTTTTAGAGGCTACGTAAGAATATAGTGACAATACTTTTAGCGTCACTTAGACAATTCTATCCCATTCCGAATGACACTGCTAATTATTTTGATGTGGAATAATTATTGATTCATATGAACTCATGTCCTACAAGATCTGCGTATCCGCATAAAAAAAAGAAAAAATTCACACTAATATGCCCCCAAAACCTAAATTGAACCTAGCTTGATCATTTCCGCAAATAACAATAGGCATCACAAAAAAACAGCGGATAAAAGATAAAAATTTTTTTCGAAACTTCTTATAACCACGGCTCGGCACAGGTGGCTTGTAAGCCAGCTGGTATCGTTTTTTGGGACGAAAAGCAAAGGGGGTTTCGTTTTTGTGACCGAAGACACACGCAAAACTGGCGATTTGGCGACGTTTTTTTTTCGTTTTTTGGGGGATTTTGGGGAATTTTTCAGGTTTTTAGAGGAAATTTGGTTGAGGGTCAAAGGGGACTTCGTAAAAATTCCCAAAAGTCAAAGGGGACTTCGTTTTTTCCATTTTCATCTAGCCACCTCGTGCCGAGCCCTGCTTATAACTCCTCATATATTTATATCTATACCCTTTTATATTCATTTTTCTTTTCCGACAAGCTATGTTTCAAATGGTTTTTTGAATGCTTTTCTCTTTTGGCGCACTTTTTATGACATAAATAAATAAGAATAGATAAATTCAAGATAGCACTTACCATAAGTAAAGAATATATTTCCAACTTGCAACGCTAGGCCATAGATCCACTATAACGTTGATTAGAAGCAGAAGAGGTAGCCAACAGAAGGCGAACATGGCAGAGATCAGAATTACCATTGGGATCAACTGAAATACAAAGATTTTTTGGTGGCAAGACTGGAAGGGGACATTTTTTACCTTCTTGACGCTTTCGTGCCTTTCCATCACAACTTTCTTATTAGAACTACTTGGGCCCGGAATTCGGCTGTTCCACATTTTCATTCCGATAAATGTGTAGGTGATGATAAGCACGGTTAATGGAACTACATATTGCAGTATCAGTACCAAGTACGAGTAAAGACGTCGGGACTGAAATGACCATGAATGAACTAAAAAAAAATTCTTCATTCAAATTTCCTCAAGCAATTCATTCAGAAATAATGGATGGATCTCTCATGTGCAGCAGGTTACTTTACGAAATTATTTTTGCTAGTTGAATTTTCAGTTTTGGATTTTTAAATGAAAAATATTTTTGTTTTGGTTTTTCAAGTAGTAAAGGCAATATTGTTACACATATTAGTATAGTTCATCTCCTTATGATTCATAATGTTCAACGATCATCACTAAGGAGTTTATTCTGCAGAATTATCGTGGGCTAATCTGAAACCTCATGTGCGTAGCAAAGAAAAAATCCGCACTCGTGATTTTTCTGAGATCACAAACTGATTTTCGTTTGCTCTTCTAAATCGTTCTGAGAGAAGCTTTTGCGAAATGACCAGAAATCTTGGCGAACGGAAAGCCTCAAGAAGCATATGGTTGTTGCAATTTTTGACAATTAAGTAGAAATCTTTTTTTTATTGTCCGCATTTCATCCCAATCCCAGAACTCCAGGCAAATATGGCTATTTTGGGCAGAACTTATCTCTCCAAAAATGTGTCAATTTACGGACATGGATCTGCCAAATCAGCTGATGTCCTTCTGCTCGCAAAGATAGTACATTAGAAAGATGAGCCGTAAGGAGAAGGAGTATCGTTTTTATGAGTACTATACATTGAGAAAACTAATTACTATGTCCTTTTACAACTATCGACCTGACTTGCCGACTTATAAGCTAATTCGAAACTTTTTCCAAAAGAGATAAGAGCTATAGTTCTAGTTTTGATCATAACTCGCTTATTTCACTATAAAAATAGGTGAAAAAATCAATTTTGTTGTGAGATTTACGTATACAATTAACTTTTTTTAAACCTCAGGTAAAGTAGTACCTGTAAAGTTTGACTTGCAAATGTTGCCTTTGCTTTTATATATTTTCATAAGCCACATGGTGCTTGACAAATTGCTAAGGATCCTTCATTTCTAGATTTTTTGGCTGCTTTGCAAAATTATTCAAATTCTATCTTGTAACTTCTTTGCGGTGTTTTGATGAATCACAAAATCAAAGTAACAATGTGGTTGTTGTTGAGCATTTAAATGACTATTTGCTATCACCATGGCAAACAATATTGTTTATGGTTAAAAAAACAATCGGAACAAATCAAATAACAATTAAGATTGCTGAATTTCTGTATCAAATTGTATCACATTTAGCAAAAAATTGAATTCATCGAAATGTAATGAATGTGTTTTTCTTTCAGTTTCTACAACTAAAACGCCAAAATTTCTTGTATTAGGTTAGTGCAAAAGTTCTTTCCGCCCAAATTCAAAAATTCATAACTTGTTGAATTCTCAACGAAACTGCAAGATCTAAATTTTGCTTAAGAGAGAAACTCATGCTCTTTGTATTTGTACCTGAACTGTTCGTTAATGTTCACAAATTAAGGAGATAAAAGCTCAAAACCAAAATCACTCGAAATTGAATTTTTCGTGTAAGGTCATAAAAAATCGGAAACCTGCAACAAAAATCGGAGCAGTCAGTATTGTAGGTTCTTTCACCAGCTCTTTCTAACGGTGCAAAGTTTGCGCTGATTGAGCGCCTCTATCAAAAGTTATGAATTTCGAGCAAGCAATGCAAAAGGGCGAATTTGATTTATTTTGGCATTTTTCAGGGAAATCATAACTTTTCATAGAGACGCTCAATCAGCGCAAACTTTGCACCGTTAGAAAGAGCTGGTGAAAGAACCTACAATCCTGATTGCTCCGATTTTCGGTGCAGATTTCCGATTTTTTATGACCCTACACGAAAAATTCAAATTTTGAGTGATTTAGGTTTTGAGCTTCTATCTCCTTAAGTTGTAAACTTTAACGAACAGTTCAGGTACAGATGCAAAAAGCATGAGTTCCTCTCTTAAGCAAAATTTAGATATTGCAGTTTCATTGTGAATTTAACAAGTTATGAATTTTTGAATTTGGGCGGAAAGAACTTTTGCACCAACCTAATATATGTTATAAAAAATGAAAGTATCGTTCCAAACATGATTTCTATGCTACATTTTCTTAATAAAAAGTACGAATTTTCATAGGAAATTTGCTTACCCCCGGAACAAAAGCTTCGACAGCACTCCAGTCTTCATCGCATCGTTCTATGTCCCCTGTCCTTTGTATTTTCGATACGAGAAACAACGGCAGTGCCATGCACATACTACAAAATACAAAATGTAACTTTTTTCTTGGAAAGTAAAAGTTTATAGTTTTCTAAATTAGAAATGAGAATTTGTACCTGAAAGCCCACGTGGCAAAAACCAAATAAATTGCTCGTTTTCTGGTTAATCGCATACTTGGAGATAAAACAAACATAATAGCCATCCAGCGATCAAAACTAAAGAAGGTAATTTTACTCAGAGGAAAAATATTTTTGATTTTTGATCTTTTCAATTTCAACTAATTAAATTGACTGACCTGATAACTACCAAAGTCCAAGAGCTTAGAAATACTGCTATTCCTTGTAAAAATGATAGAAGACTACACATTGCCGAGCCAAATATCCAACGTTGATCATCGAAAATCAGCACTTGCCAATAAGAAAATGGTATGCAAAATACGGCAATAAGGAGATCAGCTAGAAAACTTTAAATTATTACGAAAAAAATTACTAAATCGCCTCATACCATAATATTTTTTGCAAGCCTTTCTTCGCACCAATGACTAATGCGGAAGTTTGCGGTTAACTAGTTTTTATCCAAATATGATTTCATTTATAACTTCAATATTTAGGACCTTTTCACTCCCACTCACTCGCCATAAAAAATTGCTTTCGTTGATTACGGTAATTTCCCACAAGAAACTACAAAATACATTTTAAGTGATTTGATGGGAAGACGATGACGCTCTGTGTTCGATTGATCTCTAGATGAGTTGGAGAGCAGAGTGAAAAAGGAAAAAAATTGTACATATGTTTCAGAAGATCAAAAAATTGTTGTAAATCGACTTGTTTTTTCATCTAAAAAAACAAAACCTAAAAGGCTGATCATTTTTCATCAGTAGTAAAAAAACTACTTGGAATGCGCAGGTACTGAATTTCTGGTGGGGCAAAACTCTCAATAAAAATATTTTGCAAAATAGAAATAACACACTTGCTATTCACAAGCGATAGGATACACCATTCAAACCAACTCACCATACACTCTTTAGCAAAATTTTCAAAAGAGGTAAACTTTCTGAACAAAAGTAAGAGGATTCGGGCTGTTATAACTTTCTTTTAGTTCAGGTCTTCTTTTTAGCCATTTTAGTCCAAAAACCAACTACATTTGTTATTTTTTTGGTCAAGCAATCTAAGGGAAGTTGTGGTCCCAATATTTATACATTGCGAAAGTCTTTCATTATATTTGCCCCTTGTCATTCAAATTTTATCGATGGTATGATTTGTGATCTCATGGGTTTCAAGAAGCATCCTCTTTCTCGGATATGAACGGATTTTGGAATGGAAAATGGTCTACACGGCTTTAGGTTTACAAGAAAAATTCTTGAAAAACCTTGAGATGTTTGCTCTTGGTGGGAGTATATTTGCGCGAGGTTTTTTTTTTGGGGGTCGAAAATTTGTTAATGATGGAATAGTAGAGCACTTTCCATTTTATTGAAGGCACTAAATGGGAATTCTCCATTACAACTCGATTTCTTCGTTCGAAACTCAACTTCTATCGTTTAAAAATTTTCTTGAACATTGGTCCGAACGGATCAACACCAGCTGATGTGAAAAACACACATCGTTCAATATCTCAGCCAATTGTCAGACAATTGACAAGTAATGATGAATAGAGAGGCAAAATATTTTTTTGCCTAATGATTACTGCGATGCTGTTATTTTCCAGCCTGCTATCAAAAACAACTTCATCAAACTATGCGACTAACGAAAAGGACAGGCAGAACTAAAGAATGAAGGTCAAAAGCAGTACTTTCTGAATCTTCAATTCCTTTTCGATTTTTCTAGAGTGAAAAGCTTGAATAACAAGGGGAAGAAGAATAGAAGGGTAATTTATTCCCCAAGAACAACAACTTTCTCTATTGATGCTTATTATCCAGTGGTAAAAAGAAACCACTATTGATTGAATAGATTAAATTGTAACTTACCTATGGCCAAGTTCAAAATAAGGATATTCGTAGCCGTCCTTAGCCTTCGAAAATAAAGAATAATCATGATGACGAGAGAGTTACCGTAAACCGAACTGACACAGAGAACATTGTAAAAACAGATACAAAGAACCTGAAAAATTTTATTTAATTGTAGAAATAGTTATTTCGAGAGTTACCTTGATAATTGGTGTAAGCTGGTAAACTTCTTGAACTTCGTAATCGACTGGCTCGTCAGAATTGTTCATTCTGCAATACAGCACTTCACAACTAGATTAGAATTGCATTTTTCAATTTTGGACGCAAAAATATAATGAAAAACGAACAAAGAACGAAAAACAGGATAAAAACGATTAGAACGCCTCACAATAACAATTTCAGCAAAATAAAGTGCTCCGGAGACTGAGCGATGACGAGAAGTAATACGAGAAGAACGCCCTCTTCGTGAAGGGGTGGAGACTAGACACTTATAATCTGAGAAGTAGCAGCTGAGACCTGATCAAACAGAGGCTCACCCTGATTAGTAAGGTTCTCACCAAGAAAAGGGGTCATTTATAGCAGGTGCAATGGCAAAATGAAACGTGGAGATGAGTTAATGCACTTATTAAAGTGTTCAGGCACAAATATAACCTTAAATGCGTTTTTTTACAGAAACTTTCCCAAAGAAAATTGAGATATTACTCTAATATCGCAAATTTGTGCTAATGATAGTAAACTCACAAAGAAAATGTAGTAACACAATATTTCGCCAAATAAGATAATGTATCTGTGATATTTATCTCACAAATTATTTTATTGCTGCTCAATTACATACTACAAAAACAAGCTGATTATTTTCTCCTAACAAGCTTACTAACAAGTTATTCTAGAAAAAATCCATATAACTCAAGTTTCACATGAAAAAATCGCAAGCTAGTGCACAAAGTTTTGCTAAAAGCGTACATACTTCTCGCTTTCCATGAAAACAAATAGGTACACCTTAGAAACTTTCGACTTTTAAGAAAGTGAAAACGAAAGAAATCGCTACATGCTTGCTGGAATTAGAAACCAATTGGTGGATGAAAAAGAGAACAACAACCATAATATTCGCGCAGGTGAATAGCCATTAGAAAGGCGATGACGCAGTTGAAATTGCAGGATTTTTGGGACGAAGAGGGAGGCATACTCTTTACCAGATTCAAGCGCAAAAATATGTATCTACTTTCGATATTCATCAACGATATCTACCCTTTAAAAATAACACTTAATAATTTTCTATTTAAGATGTCTCGCAGCTCCGCCATGCAGAGCAGCTCCTCGGAACAGGTGCAGGGATTGCTGTTTGTCGCGTTACTTGTGGCGCCTTTTGTAATCGCTGCAAGACCACTTCGGCTGAGAACGCGGCCAAGTGGCGGGATATATAAGCAGGGTCAAGCGTGGGGTGCGGCACGCCACACCTGGGGGGTCGTATTGAGGAGTCAAAAGGGGAGGGGGTCGTAGTTGGGTAATCTGATAATAGTGATAACATGATATTCGTATCATATCCATAATTAGCATGTCAATTTACCCCTGTAGACAAAGTGTGAGCGAATTCTGAAGATTCAAGATACTAGGCTACCTAAATGAAATGGTCAAATTCCAACATGGTTAACTTTGTTTCAAAGGTGAATTAGCTGTCCATTTTTGCACTCAAGACAAAGCACTACTTCTTCTTTGTCCACCTCAGGAATCCCGCTTCAGAAGACCTGCAAACTGTGGAATTAGAAGCCAACTAAAATCTCATTTTTCCCATTTTTCGCTTTTGATTGCTGTGCCTTCATTAAACATTACTCAGAGCTAAGAAAACGAATTAGGCTCCAAACAGTCCTATGGAATCTAGAAGGTTTAGGCTATCGATTCATATAAATGCTGTCCGCTAAAAATGCGGCACACCCCCTTAACTTGCCTTCAAAATCCAGAAAGCGCTCCATTGCTGGTATGAGTATTGAGCACATAGCTCCTTCTTGCTACACTGGAAATTTGGAGCCGAACGCCCCACCCATAAGAAAATTATGGCCCTTTCAATATGCCCATTCAGATCAAAATCAGCCGTCAAATTACGTGTGATTGTAAAGTGCAGTCACAGAAAATCGGGCGTACAACTCTCAGAAATCTGAAAACTCTCTAGAAAAAGCTGGTGTCCTCCAGAATGTCACACTTTGAGGTCCAGAGGTTAAGAGGAGGAAGAAGGGGTCGTTTGAGGGCTTTCATGGGAGGGGGGTGGGGTTTGTTTTCGAAAGACTTGTGCCTGACCTCTTTCTCAACTCTGGCAATGCTATCCTAGGTATATAGTTCAGGGGGGGGGGTCTTATGAAGACAGCAATCAAGGGGGGGGGTCGTAACCAGCGATCGTATGCCACACCCCTTGCTTGACCCTGTATATAGGGCTGCACATGAGAGCAGCCCTCGCTTCTTTAACTATCGTTTTTCAGTGATTACTGTCATATCATGCTTGGCCGCGTTCTCAGCAGCTGCTGAAGAGGTACGTTGAGCGGTTGAGCTTTGGGGTGTTTGTGCAACTGAGCGCAGTAGCGCGAAGAAAGTTTACAAGTAGTAGATGAACCACGATGCGGGAGCAGAGCTGGGGAGCGCGCCGTTCCAGTTGGACTGGGTCTCTAGCGGCCGACCTTAATAAGGAACCCAGAATTTCCTTATGTGGATTGAGCCGACAGTATCTCATCAGCACGGGACGACATCGATCCGTGTTATAGTTGTTAGTATTTGTTTTATTAGCTATATTCGTTTTTGGTTTTAGCACGTTTTCTTTGCTAGTTTTATATGTTTAGGAATATTTAGCTAATTTGACGCACGTATTTCGTGGGCTATTTGGTGGGTGATTGCATCGAGTGGGCGCGCCGGAGGATTCGTCGGTCATGGACGCGTAACATCCTAGGGGTGTTGAGGTTGGCTGAGCAGGCAGTCGAATACAGGGCTAGGGGTATTGGGCCCATCGACCGGCAACACACTAATGATTCTTTGAATATCGGCTACAGTCCAAAATATTGTTATGGCAATATCCCAAGAATTTCACTGGATGTGAATCAAATGAATAATTACATTCAAGTGGAGCTACTAAACCTACTGATAAAGCTACGTGAAACGGAGCAGATCTTTTACAATTCCAAAAGAGGGGGAAATATACAATCGAAGATACATAGCATACATCGTCTATGAGACATAGGCTTACCCTAACATGTTTATAACAACCAAATGAATTCTAGTAATAACTGCAGTTATCGTATCAAATTGTAGGATGGTGTTGTTTACATGTAAAACTACAAATTACCTTCCCAAAATTTCTCTGCAGAATGCTTTGTAAGATTGTATTCGTAGCATTTATACAGACAAACATATGATGCAAAACATTCAGCGAATTAGAGATCAAGAAGAAGAAGACACATATTAAGTTGAACCGAAAGTTCTTTCGCACCATTTTCAAAAAATCATAACTTCTTTCCCTCACAACGATTTTGCGCCATTCAAATTTTATCTAAAAGCATAAAGCATGTAATTTCCAGAAGTCTCTCGTGCACTTTCCAATATGATCAAGTTATAGAGATAAAAATGAAAGAACGAGATCATCCAAAATTCGGAATTTTTAAGCAAAAATTCTAAAAATCTAGAAACTGTGCTGTAAAATCCGGAACAACCATCAGCCTAAGTTTTCTTATATCTTATCGCTAACTGAGTCAAGTTTGTGCTGATCGAGCTCTTCTTTCAAATATGATTTTTCGAAAAAAAAATGTCAAAAAATCAATTTCCTAAGAATGCTTGAGAAATTGATTTTTCGGCATTTTTTTCAAAAAATCATAACTTCTAAAAGAAGAACTCCATCAGCACAAACTTGACTCAGTTAGTAATAAAATATAAGAAAACTTAGGATGATGGCTGTTCTGGATTTTATCGCACAGTTTCTAGATTTTTAAAATTTTTGCTCAAAAATTCCGAATTTGATGATCTCGTTCTTCCATTTTTATCTCTGCGACCTGAGCATGTTGGAAAGTCCCCAGGGAACTTTGGAAAACTACATGCTTTACCTTTCTGACAAAATTTGATTTGCACAAAATCATTGCGAGGAAAAAAGTTATGATTTTTTGAAAATGGTGCGACACAACTTTCGGTTCAACCTAATAGTAAAAAATTGCACTGTCTATAAAAAAATGAGCAGATGGACAGATAGCTAGCAAAAGGTTTCTGTTCGTAAGTTTATCTCGTACTGAAAACGGTGATACGGCGGATCATTACCAGAATTGTACTTTATCTCAGACTTCCTTTTCCAGAGTTGATCTTACACTTTGATTAAAACGCAAGCCAATTAGTATAATTGATAAGCATATCCTGATGTCAAAACTAGTAGAGGCAAAAGAATAGATGACAAGGACTTTAAAATCTAATGGGAACATTGGAAGACTAAATGTGGGAATTTTAAGCGTAGATTTGAGAAGTAGCATAAATGTGTATAGGAGCGTTACTGGTTGAAGAAGCTGTAATTACTAGTTTGTATATGAGACTCCTAGGAGGAGGGGAACATGTGATTATGTGTGAGAAAATATTTCAGTCATATATGCAACGCTTTGATGTTTTCCTGACTATGTGGGCGAGCTCTGCATCATTAAGAAATTAGTTTCGAGACAAGAATGGATAAGGCGGGAACGAGAAGGAAAACTCTCCCGACGTTGTTGTGTCGTGGATGTTTACGAAAAGGATATGAAGGCAATTTCAGCTGCTTGTGCCGGCAGTCTGCTTAGTCACAGAGACACGAACATAATAGAAAGACTCGTTCGAAACGGATCCTTACAAGAAGGGCACTTCTTTTTCACTGTCAGTCACCCATAACTGATTTACGGGTGCCATTGTGAGCGAAGTTTGTGAACATACTCGCACAAGTGCAAAATCGAAACAGATTTTGTTGTTATGTCGGATTTTCGAGTGTTTTGTGCGGATTAGCTGTGAAGGCAAGAAAAATATCCCTGCTTGGCGACGTGTTTACGTGAATGCAATGCTCGATTACATAAGCATATTATAAATCAACGAAGCGTCTAATAACAACTATACGCTAGGAAACACGAGGGCCAAACATAGCCTCCAAATCGCATGATATACAGTCAAGTAAATGTTATTGGTCATGTGTGTAAATGCAGACTATGTGCACCCCAATTCGGGAAAAAGACGCATTCACTGCTGACGTATCTAACCGAGGCAATGACAGCGAAGATTTATACTTTAACGA